CATCGTATGACATCCGCATGATCTTTTTGTAGCCGGTACGATTTCCTGTTTAAAATATTTGCTGTCGACGTCGTGAGAAAATATGCTATGAAGAATATGACCAGACCAGGACATTTTGGGAAGGAAATCGCTTTTTCCTTGATCTTAGTGAGATTAGTCGAGACCTTTTTGACCCTTTTCATGCCATCCCGTTTCGTAGCAGACTATGTGAGGACAGAAGCAGTTTCAATGGAGTTGAACTCACTTTTGACGAACCTGAGTTATAGCGACCTGAAATGTTACGTGAACTGAACCGATAATATATATATTTTTTATTCATCTCGCTGTAAGCCTCACACCTGTCACAGAATTTATTTGGCCATGAGCAGATGATCCTATGTAACTTCATGATCTGGTGTTTTATTTCTGTCGGTTTTTCTGAATTAGATCTGGAGCTGCTGGAATGTAACTGTACTGATTTCTAACGTATCGTTCGATGCGAATTGCATGATTCCAGTAGATACTGAACTTGCCTGCCGTGTAATGTAAGTTCAGCCTTGATCTGCATTCGTCTTTCACTTTAGACGATCCTTCTGTTTCATGAGAGCCGAACCTTGACCGAAAAAAGCGCGTTGGTGTGTATGTTCCTTAGCGGCACTGTAGGTGTGGAGGAAGAGCCTTCTCGAAAACAGCCCGAGAGAGATAAGAGGAAGGCGAGGCGTTGGAGCCGGAAATCAACCGTCGCGCCGGAAACATTAGCTCCTTCAAATCCCGAATAGACACACGCAGGCACCGGAAAAAGTAGGGAATCTGAATACCCATGCATGTGCTTGCCGTCTTTTCTGAAGCATCCGTATAAAATATAAGCGGGTCGTCTGTTTCCACTCAAGGCTTGTGATTCATGCTTTACATCCCTCCACCCTCCCTTCATTCCGGAATTCGTGTTCAACAAAAACCAGAAGCAACTTCCCTGGAGGCCCACGAAAACTACTGCATCCGGAAAGGACTCAAGTAACGTTCAAACTGTTCTTCATAACATGCAGTGAAATCTTGTCACCAGAAAATAATGTTGGGAATGAATTGATTTTTGAAGTACTGTATCTCCGTTATAAATGCAATTTTTTCAAATGCTGAAGTAGGTAAAATCTTTTTCGAACAAGAGACCATTGAGACCTAAAGAACAGCCTTGGTATAACAATAAATTTGTGAGAATTGTAGCTATTGGACAAGGACTTCGAGAATTGATTTTTTCTCGATTATTCATTCTGACAAGATTCCTTGTCAAATTATTTTACTGTTCAGAATTTTTCATTCGATGTAAGTTTTTAGGTCCTAATCTCTAAGTTATGCAGGTGGACTCTCCCATTAATTTGAGGAGGCCAGAAAAAATTGTTGATGGAATTTATTTTTAAAGAATTCCTGTAACATGGGAGAGAACCCTAGGATGCCAAAATAGGAGGGGGCTTATGGCAGTGGATGCTTTTTTGTTGAGTGCCTTTTTTCCTCCGGTCACCCACACCAACATGTCCCCAACTCCCCCTCCGAAAACTTGACCCCCAAGGTTTCGTGTGACTTGATACTTCCGTTCGAGGAAAAAAAGGAACCCAGATGAAAACAGGAACCGCGAAGAGTCTTGGGAATGGAGATGGTTGAGTAGTTTAGGAGCTTCTCAAGGTTTTCTGGTGAACGAGCTTCAGGATACGAAGTGAAGACCATTTTCGGGATTTGTAACTCAAGGACGAGAGGCGCAGCATCCGTTTCCGGCTGATAAGTGAGAAGTTGGATCATGCTTTCTATTGGTTCCCTTTTTTGAAGGAAAACGACTTCCTTGGAACACCGAAAAGAGAAGAGATAGGATCTATGAGAAGTTATGATTATTTCAGCTTGAGCGCAATTGGTTTTTGTTTTCGCTCCATAAAACTAGGACCAACGGACGCGTCTGGGATTTGTTCTTCCGCTTAACCCGTCGGTTGGCTAATTTTCCGTACGAATGTTTGGATGATGTGTCGATTTTATCTCTGCGTGACAGTGGCAATCCAATAACAGTTCTAAGATAAATATGGCGTGGATTCCGACGCAGAATACAGTAGATTGTGATTATCGCGGATATTTGCTCGAGATGAGGAAATATTGCAATTGTTAACGTTATTTGGTTATCTTTCAAAACGGAAGAATTTTTCGTATGTCTCCGGAAGTGGTTTGTGTGAGTTCTAGCATTGCTTTCTGGATCGACTGTGAGTATGACCCACACCAGGGTACTGTTATACATTTCCGTATCTGAGTTTTCTTCTGAAAAGAAAATTTTGAATTTCACTCCCTCAGGAAAAAAGCCTTTTTTATCATTAACGGTGATCTGCTGATCCTGCGAGATCTGCCGATTTTTCCTCCAGATATTATCAGGCACAACCTATTGAATTGGCGAACATATTCCTAAGTTTTGGGTAAACCCTTCGAATTTCAAGGGAATAAATATGCAGTGATGAAAATGTTCTCCATTGAACATCGTATGATGAAATGTGTGTTTTCTTGTGAGCATTGCCTTTCGCAGAAAAACAAAATAATAAATGTGAATGATGGCTGAATTTGTGTCGTAGTGATACATTAAATGTTTCAATTGGTTGAATTTATCTTGGGTTCCCTCGGAAGATGTCTAGATTTTTTTATACGTACAGTACAACTTCACTTATTATCGTCCTCGAGAAAATTCAGAACAAGATACCTTACCCAGGACATTTTATTGAGATTTTTTTCACTACAGTTGGTACAGTATTGCATAATTTATGTCAAACAAAATGTTGGGATTAATTGAAAGTTTCAACTCTTCACAGATGGGTGCATTTTATTTCCAGAATCTGACGCAATTTAATACTGTACAAACTCAAGTAAATTCATAACTTCTAATTTTGCTGTGCCTACTGAACTTGAACGAGGCCCAGTTGAAGTGATTCTTTGGGTAATATGCATTGAAATTGAAGTCATTTTCTAGGAATGGTTAAATGCGTTGTGGCTCTTTTAAGTATTGCGCTGCTCATGGCACATACGATGGTCAGATGCACTATAGTACAATATTGTACTCCCATGTTAGCCATTTCCGGGATGAATCATGACCAATTTTGAAGACAGGATCCAATCACGTGGCGGGCAATCGGTCGAGTACTGCAGGTTCTGAGTCAGATTCAGAGACCAAAGCGTCTGTTGTGTAAGGATAGTGTATCGGCATAACTCGTTTCATTGTGAATTGTTTGCGTTAGTCATCCCATTCTCGTGTTATTTTTCCATGTGCTGTAAGCCCCCCAATGCATGAAAAGAGGCAAATCTGGTCGTGGCCCGGGATTTTTCCCTTGTCAAGGTCCTTCTCTCTCGCTCTCGGTTTCATGTAGCGGAAGATCTACAGTCGCATCCAGGGCTCACCCTAAATACGAGGGGGTTTTCAAAAGTTTATAGCGCGGCATCTGAAATTTGCGTCATGTTGGGATGAAACGTAAGTTTATAAATGTTGATGCTTCAATGAAGTTTAAATGCATATTGAAATGCTGTATATCAAGACCTGCTACACTTTTTTTTATCATGGGAAGGTGAAATGTGATGATCAATTTTCATGTTGGTAACTTTTTTCTCTAATTACAGTATTTTAAAATTTTCCGCTGTTGACCGGTGAAGAGACTTCGTGCTCAACTGGGATCAGTGTCACAAAGAAATTTTACAGCTGAATTTGTCAAAACGAATTCCCAAGAGAACAACATCGTGGAAACATTTTGCCTTGTTATGACATGATTCATTATAGCAAAATTCCATTCTCAAGTTCTTGGTGCAGTTGGTTTTTTCAGGACCTTCAATGGTCATCTCATTCTGAGTAAGGTATTGTCACAAAAGTTGAAATTTGAATTTTTAATGGAAATCCTTTTACTTTTTAATCTTCAATAATGTCAGTGCCTTTTGGTAACAGTTCAAGGATTGTGAGCTCTGCTTCTTAGCAGTTTTCCAGAATCTTCCGTCATGTTGGAAATGTACCACTCACGAAGATTTGATCAACTATTTTTCCATTGAGGTAATATTCTTTCAGCATGCGATTAATTGAACCGCTCTATTCTTGGATGAGATACTTCCGGCCATCTTTGATTTCATGTTTTTATCCATTGGAACCACATATTTTATGTGGGCATGCGTAATATTGAGTTGTCAGACGTGCGGTACTGAATGAAGTTTAGTTTTGTAGTGACTCGCCCTCATGTCTGTGTTCGAGTGAACCACATTTTTGAGAAGCCCTTCGTAACAACGTTTTTGCTCGCGCGCGGGGGACAAAAAAGAAGGAAGAATGGAGGGTGAATGCGAACATCTGCTCTGCAGCTGTCGCTGAGATTCATTCCGTTACGAGTAGGGCTTGTTGATGATGTGGGGGGAGAAGAGATGGAGACACACAGAGAGAAACTGGGAAAAGGAAACGAAAAAAAAAAGAAATTTCACTAAGAGAACGAATATGGGTGGGTGATGTGTGAGTTTTTGGGGCTGTGGAATCAGTGTTTGACTGACTAGCTTGTTGCTCGTGTCGCATCGTCCGCGGGGTGAATTGTCAGCCCTCATGTGCTGTGAAAACGGCCATTTTATTTTCTCCTGCTGCCGGGTGGGTGACGATGTCGTGTGTTGCGACGTTTTGTCTCTCGTGATCGCTTGATTGTATAATTGGCCCTCGTTGTTCAGCTTCGCTTGTGACATGAATTGGTGCTGGGAGGATCCCGAGCACTCACGAAAGTGTCGTTAATTGGGTGCAGTGAAAACCGCGTTTCGTTATTGAGGCCGCTCGGAAGTGTGTATCGTGTGCCAGGGTTGTCAAATTTCCTCGTGGAAGGATTCGAAGTTCGCATTTGTCATGTGCTAATGGTTGTGTTTTTGAATGTTTTTCAGATCTTTTTCTCTGGCCTTCTGGGTGCTGAAAATTCTGTTTGATTTCGGAACAGACGCGGCATCTCTGAAGGGCTTTTCTTGAACGAAGTTCGCGAGATAGAAGTAATTCTAGTACAGTAATGATATGGGAAATTCAGGCTTCGACGTTGACGAACTATGTTGGAAGATCGTTGATTGGAGATGCTGACGACGGGAACAGCTTGGGAAACGTCGTGAATATCAGGTGAGACTATGAATATTTCCTTCTTTACGGAATGACGATTTGTTTTAGAACTTTTTGGCCTGTCCTATTCTGAATTCACCGGAAGAGCGTCATACGTCAAGAGATAAATATTGAGAAAATTTATGTTCGCTCGGTGAAGAATGAGAAGCCCTTCAGACGTAATGGTATCCAGTTTGAAATGACGAAAAGAGCACGTGGCGAGACTTATTTTCGTAAATATCACCCAGTTGAACATGTGCTCGGACGTGAAACATTCTGTCGAAAAATCACCGAATCGGAAATCTCAAGAACAATGCTCAAGGTTAGTGCACGCATTGGGATGATCGTTTAAATTCGATCTTCGATTAGAATATTAATTCACTCGGTGACGTCATTATACGCCAGCCCCTAAACTTGTGCAGTATTTTTTCCGGGAAGTAGGAGGGAACGAAGGTTCTGAAGCTTCTGTTTGTCCTTGCACAAGGGACACCATTATTCGCGGTTGAAGCCCTGTTGGGAATCGGGGGTCGCTTTCGTTTTGGTTTGGCCCCCAGGGTTCCTATGCTGTTAGTGCGGCTGAGTGAGTGCACGTTACTGTGGTGCTGCATGCGAGACATCCATCCACATGAAGGGAAGGAAATCTTGGATTTCTCTTATTCGCGTGAACCCGTTTATTTTTACACTCGAGGCTTTTGGGATTCTTTGGAATTATTAATCTTCAGTTTTAGTGAACCGATTGGATCGATTCATTCAACGTGATCTTTATTAAAAGCCAGTTCCTAACCATCCTACGTAAAGAATGTCCACTAAGAAGTCTTGCGATAATGAAATATAGTTGCTGTGAAAACTCCTCTTAGAATTAGTTTTCAAAGCTCATGATGCTGAGCTAATTTTGCGTTGTGCTAGGACTTGAGTAAAAATCTGTCATTTTGTAGCAGATCCTTTTGCAAAGTAAAACTGGATTAGTCCCCTCATGGATCCTGAAGAAAGGGTTGCAATTGTCCAGCACTTGTTTAAACGAATGGATTTTCTTTCATCTTTTTTTCTGATTAATTATGTGAAAGGAATAAAATGCATTTCACAAAAGCATGCATGTTACTGATGCTGTTGTCATATGGTAAATATTGTACTACCTTAGATGTGGCTTCTAGTGGTCAGGGCACCATGCCACTATTGACTTGATTTTTTGATTTATGAGGTCCCGCCACATGTTCCCTGACATACATATTAGGTTCAGTCTACAATATTTCTCACAGTGCTGGAAGGAGGGTGTGTAGATAAGATGAAAAGTACTGTACAATGCATTACTGTACTTAGTTTAGAGACAGGAGGGTTCGGACTTCGTGAAGTTAGTCTATCAATCCATCCACCCAGCTCGCCGGCTGGCGTGGGCGACTTGCCAAGAAGCGTTGACGTTCTTCCTCCTCCTCCTCTCCCTGTTTCTCTGTCCGCGCGCCGGCCTCTGAGCCAGTCCTGGCTTGTGGGGGAACCTCCGAAGCCGGACTCGCGCCGTCTTGGCGGCTCGCATTGGATGAGGATATTGTATGTGCGATCCCCCCTTTTTTTTCCTGATCTGTCTCTGGGATAATGTTCACTTATTGATGAGATCCCCGCATATAATGCCACTATTTTGTGGGATTAGCATTGTGTGTGTGGGGTGAGAGAATATTCCGTTGGTGTGAGCAGGAAGAGTGCGAGAGTTCTACTGGCTCGGGTGTGCGAGAGTGTTGCCAAAAAGCGATTATTCATTCCGATTCCTTGCATAATACAATACTTCATCCTCTCGTCGTATGGTATGCGAAATACGATATAACACTGGCCAAATAATCGATTTTGTGGGATATCGGGTGTATTATTCTCTTCATTTTCAAGTTAAATTTCTTCTCCTTCGGAAAGCATCTTCGCAGCAGTATAACTAGAACTATAATGGATGATTATTTTCCCGTCGATGTATTTTATAGTGTTGATTTCTGGGTTTAGCTGACGTTTACTCGGTTTATTCCTATTCCGTATTTCCCATTAATTTTGGCACGTCGATGTAAGAGTATGGCGTCTATATTTTGTACGCTGTATTACGGGTGGACTCACATCAAAGTTCAATGGACCAGAAAATTTATGTTGTAGAGGATTTTTTGTTGAAGACCTGTATCATGCGGGGAGAGAAAACAATTCGTTATGAAGAGAAAATAGTTCTGGAGAGAGTCCACTTGTATTCGGACTGAGGATGACTGGGTGTGTTGGAGAGATTTGACAAATATTGTAATGCTAGATTTTGCAAATCTAAAAATTCATAAATACAGACATATCGAAAATATGCTGCATGTGAGTCAGTGCGGCTCATACGCGAATGTATTCAGCGTAATGTAGGACGCACTTGTGTATTCGATTTCTTTGAGGGCATTTTAATATTTCCATATTTTATTCTTGAACAAGTTTTTTGCTGTCGGATGGATGCATGAAATCAAGAGTTCTCTCTGAAATTTCGAAACACGGTACTTCATTCGAGATTTTTGCCCTGAACCTGAAAAAAAAAAAGTGTAAAGAAATGGTGCCAGAACCCGGGCCGACTGGGGGTAGGAAACCCGGCTCCTCTTCTGTCCTTCCGGGTTTCCGGAAGGAGAAGAAAGGAAAAAAAAAATTAGCTGTGTTCCCCGTCCGCGTTGCATCAAAGAAGGGAACAAACTCGCGATAAGTTTCCGAATGGTGCCAAAAGCCTCGGGTGAGAAAGCCAGAGGCTGACTAACCCATGCATGCACGTGTGTGTGTGTGTATGTAATCTAGGTTGCCTTCTACTGTACTCGTGTACGTCTGTGTATATATGTGGCTGCGGGACAGGGAAGGAAGTTTATATCCCTGTACTGTACCCCGAAAGTCTGGGGGCGAGGAAGGGATGTTTCGGCGAGATAACGACTTGAAATGTGAGTATGTGTGGAGGGGCTGGGCTCAGTCGATACGCTTCTCGAGACCCTGTGTGAGTGTAACGGTCTTTTTTCTTCGTTTCCCGCTTACTAGTGTATGCTTCCGGTTTATTTTTTTCTGTAATTCTAGGAAGAAAGTTTTCAGGGATTTCTGGACGCTGCGATTATTTCAGCTCTGAATCCTCACGTGCCAGACTTGATATGTACGGTTTTGTGATGCTTTGGTCAGCGGACTTCATTCTTTGAAATTTGGTCATTAGATCAGAGATATCGACTTGAAAAGGCACTTAAATTGATCCTTTTTTATTTTGTTCGTTGAGAAAGTCATTGAACGTCCTGAGTGAAGCAGAAATATTTTAGCATTAATGATCCAATTTAAAATGCAACGTTCTCGTCATTTCAACTCGAGTGAGCGAAGTTAAACTGGGGCATGCATTTTTTGTGAGCGTAATATCTTCATTACTTACTCCATATCGGCAACTTTCCAATTATTGCTTGATTTGTATGTTCACGAGTTATCACTCTTACGAATTTCTTTTTCGGGTATCGACATGGTTATTTTTTTTTACTTGTGAGTGTCACTTGATCTATGAGTAACACCGAATCAATTTTTTCGCTCATCCGTGTTCAGTAGTTGAAGACCGTATTTCGAATGGCTTCGAGTTTTTTTTTTTTTTTTACGATATCCCTGATTTGACGAAGATATTTTTCTCGTGGAAGTTTATTTGATTCAGAACGTATAAATGACCGATTAATTTCAAATGGATAACCTAGTTCGGGCTTAAGTTTGAATAGGTAGTAATTACATTAAATTATTAACATTGGAGTATTTATCCCCCACTCCTCACAGAAAAAGATGCGTACAGTACCTCAAACAGACAGACGAAACTTTCGAGCCATCCCTCGCAGGTCCGTTCTCATTTTGAAAAAATTCGGCGGGTTTTCCTGAATTTTGCCGTAGGGTGCTTTTCACGGTACATCGACAATTTCGTTTTCGACAAAATTCCGGGATTTTTTTTTTTCGTGGCCGTTCGCGTGTTTGTCAGTCGGTGGGCAATATCGTGGAAATTTCGGGCCTCTGTGTGGTGAAAGTGGGCTCGAGTTTCCGGGAGACGATGGGTGCCATTGAATAGCCGCGGATTTATCAAAACGCAAGATCCGCCGGAATGCGAAAAAAATGAAATCCCTTCCCCACCACTGGGGGTCTGTCCATTCAGCGGCAGTATTTTCACCAAGATCGGTCTGCAATCTCAGAATTGCATATAGACTCAACGGATTTTCCCCCAACCCCCGCCCTATTTATTTTTTTTTGTGGAAAAAGGCTTTTGTGCCAATGTCCAGGCCACGTTTTTGGAGAAATTCCGGTTAGTTTTTCCGTTTCTGTTGGTAGTGGATGAGCGGCTCGTGGCCTGGTGGGTATTTTTTTTTATGTTGAGTGTTATTTTTGCGAGTGGAGGATTTCTCTTGGCATCGGAAGGATTGCTTCGTTTTGAGCGGATTCGACTTGAACTGTGTTCATTCGGCTCCCCGTGGTGTTCATCAACTAAATCTCGTTTAATGTGAGTCGAATAAAATTCACTTGCCCAGTGCTCTTTATAACCATATCAATAATCCTAACTTTTGAATGCGAAGCTGTGTAGAATTTCTGGATCTTTGGACAGACTCGTTGAGAGTACAATATTGTACTGCGAAGCTGTATGGTATGGCTTAGTTTTCGCTTTCAAGGGCCCACAAGGAGTTGATACAATTTTCCTTTATTTCTCAATTGTTGCTGCATGAAATTTCAATATTCCCCAGAATTCAACGATTCCTCTCGTGATGTGAAACACGGAAGTTTTTGTCTTGTGTGATGCTATGGTGAAAAGTTCGTTGGATTTCGATCAGTTTTAAACAACTACAAAAATCATTCGTTAATTCACACTCGATTGTGTTGGAAGGACCTTCGTCGAGGGGAAAAGAGGTCCGCTGTATTTCTTGATCAGACCCGTTTCCTCAATATATTCGTGTTGCTTCAGAGTTTTTAATTTATCAGAGAACCGAGAATTATTCTGGAGTCGCCTTTCCCTTATCGTTTCCATTTTTTGATTCACAGCAAATCCTTGAATGAACTCGTGACATCTGACGAGGATGAAATCTCGAGGATACAATATCTTTCATTCTGGACATCGGAATATTCTTTCTATTTCGTACTACGTACTCGTGACAATTTCAATAATCACACGCCGGAAGGGTTCTCTGAAAAGAGAATGCGATTTACTTGACAACCTCGATATAGGCTTTCATATTCGACAACCTCGACAGTAACTTTCAGACCGGGTCGGTTCGTTGCCCTCGTTCCCCAAAATTATGAGTTTATGACGGATGCGAGCAATGTGTGTGTGTGGGGTGAATGTGCAGACACAAAAGGGTCGCATCTGGGAAATAGGGAAGTATAACACAAGGGGGGGGGAGAGGAGAAAAAAAAAGTTGTGTGGGCTGTTGAATCCAAGCCCTGGATTTATTGTGTCGTCGTCGTCGTCGCGAGGGAAAAAAATGGATAAATAAATAAAATGAGCGACATGTTTGGGGGAAGCGGGTATTTTTTTGAATGAAGCTGCTGCAGGAGCAGCTGGCGCCTGTGCTTGGCTTTGTCATAGAAAAGGACAAGCTGCAGTGATTCTGCCTGGGCAGGATTACGTTTCCGTTTGTGATGATAATAATAAAAAAAGGAGGATATATTTTTCTGAAAAAAATTTTTTTCCTTCCCTCCCGCCTCTTGGAAATAAGCGTCGGATGACGGCTGCATTTTAGTGCCTACTGTGGTCTTGTTTTAGTTCATCTCAGTAAACTGAAGCCCCAGTTATTGCGGTTGCGTCAGGATGGTTTGTGCTGTACCTTAAAAGTATTGTATGTAATGCTTGGATTTGCCTGGGAAGTTAAATTCTCGAGAAAATTTGCAGTTTTTCTTGCCGTGTTATTGAGTACTTCTGAGCTTCAGAAATGATGAGACATCGACTTTGCTTTGTTGTCTCGGAGCTGGAGTTTTGATTTTCCAGTCTTACTGATACTGCTTGAAATGGATTTTGTTTTCAAAAACGCAAAAAATTGAAACGAAATGCAGTAACTTCAAAACTTTCCTGTTCACCTCTCTGGAATAACCGTATATTTTAATGCTATGCTCCAATAGTTTTGCGGTTCTGTATTATGACGTTCACCGCCATCTTTTCTGGGCATACTAATTTTCCGGTGGATCTTTGCTTGAGCCCTTCTGAATGATAGAATTAACTGACTGAAGTTGAATTTGGTTCTCAAGGTCCGGAAGTAAGAAATGCAGGAATTTCGCCTGTTCAGGATTATGTTTACATGGAAATAATGCGTCCGGAAGTCGAAAAATGCAGTGATTTAACCTGTTCGGGATTATGTTTACTTCGAAATAATGAATGAAATTGGGCAGATATTGTCAACAAGTCTATTCCCACCACTTGAGGAACAATGTCGTATGATATATTGCGGAAGTCGCTTTTCAAATTTCGAGAGATTTTCTGTGATAATTTTTCTCTATATTCGTGCCTCTGATGAAATTTCTAAATTTTAGGATTCGTTCCCAAATTCCGCAGTCACATCACATTTCATGCAAAGGAATCTCGTTTGAAAAAACTGCATCGTCAAGTCACACGTGCAATTCGATACTGTAGTTCGCCAAAACGAAATACTGTATTGTACTAAAGTATTTTAAGCTCGTCCTTGCGATAATCAGCAATCTTCCGAATGTGATGGTCTCTACTCTAAATAAAACTTGGCGTTGGTGGTTTTGGAAGGAAAACAAAATACTATGCGGTTCTGGCCCCGTTCCATTCGTGATTTCTGTCCAGCTAAGCATTTTTTCTGCCTCTAACGAGGTCTGAAGTAGTTCGCCATTTTTTTCCTGTTCCACGGGTTTCATCTATGACATAATGTTACGCGGGTTTTTCTCGGGAACAAAGCGACGTTGAGACGTCTTGTCAATCTGATCGATTTTATTTTATGCGCAAGTACTTGGAAGAAATTGTAATCCCCGTATTATTTTTTTATTTATCGAGTCTGGAGCAAGTTCGAAGAGTGTCTAGTCCCCGGTTGTCGTGATTGACAAGGACCGGAAGAAAGCTTGTAAACAAATAATTCGAGTTTCACTGATGAGTTGCAGACTGATCTTGGATGATTATGACTTGCGGTAGTCTGAAGTGAGTGAGTCACAGTTCCGGATTGTGAATGATGGGTCCCAGTCCTGGAGGGAATTCATCTGCCACAATAACTTGGCTGCTTCTTATTCTTTCGTCGAATGAAAAGGTCGGTTCTTTTCAAGTCTTGGCTGCAGCTTTAGTGAAACGCTTAAAAATATCTGCCATACTGTGGTTAATTTAACCTGGCGTGGATTGACTTCCTCCGAAGAGACGTGGCGTCGTTTTTATTTTTCAAGCTGGTTGTTCTATTTTCTGTCGGGAGGAAATACTGAAAGAGATCATTCTTTAGATTCACCAAGTTCGGGGAGATGAAAATGGTAACTGGATTTTATATTTTCAACTGTTCAAAATATTTGGTTCGGAGAGTATGTAATTCGGTCGATTTTCAGGGGTATCTTCCGTAATTTTGAAGCGACGAAAATCTTGCGGAATAATCAGATTGATTTTCTAACGCGAAAGGAAGAAAATGGATAAAAGCGATAAATCTAGTTTTTTATTTCGAAATTTCTATAACAGAATCTAATATACTTCCCTGCATTATATGTATATTTTTTGAATATGATTGGACGAGAATACCGAACAAAAATACTTCATCTTTTCGACGTTTTCCCGGTTCAACATTTCCGTCGATCTGTCGACAAAACTCCTGTTTCCGAAGGATGGATTAAAAATAGACCTGAAGTTTTGAAGCATATTACTGTATGTATGTATGTCTCCGATGCTCGTTTTCAACAATTTTTCAATGACAGGAAGACAGAGACTTTCTGCTGTATTGTTTGGGTAAGGATGTACCGTAAATTGTTCTCAAGAATCTGGAGAGGTTCGAGCAACGTTAAAATCTTGCAAGTGTTCATGTATGTGCTTTCTTTAAAAGCAAAAAAGACGTTTCACGTAATACTGTTCTGTATAAATATTAAAAACATGCGAGCATTCTAATTGTTCATACATCACAGTACTCCATATTGAAGGTCTGTCCAATCGGTAAATTTTTCGATCACATCTCGATAATTTTCGGTGCTGTATCGAAATCCGACAAAATTTTACAGTACTCTTTTTTTTTTTTTATTCCATTGCCTTGAATGAGGTGTTGGGAAGGCTGTTGGGGGTTTTCAAACGAGGTTCAGTCTGTTTTCTTTCGGAAAAGCAGGAAATAACAAGACATGACTCCATTTCGAACTTGTTTTCATTACCTCGCGATGAGGTGATGGAAAATAATAGTTGTCAACACCATGTAACCCCTTGATAATTTCCACTTCAGCATTAGGATCAAAATTTTTTTTTAGACGCCTGCTTTGAGTGGACTTATTTCCTGTCCTGGGTCTCCCTCATTTCCGTTTCCGCCGGAAGTTTGGTAAAAAAAAAAAAAAAGCAAGCCACTTTTTGCTCCCCATCCGTTCCTTTCTGTTGTCATTTGGAATATGAAGGGGGTCGGAACGAAATTGAATTCGTTACTGCGTGTGTCGTGAGTGAGAGCAGAGTTTTTTTTTGCCCATTCTCTTCCGGGGGGTTTGAAAGGGGGCTCGGGACGTATGTGACGTTTGTTTTCAGCGGGAATTTTTATTTTTTTCGTGTTCGTCATTTGCTACAATTGTATTATTTTCGAGTGCCCTTTTGTGTCAGCCCTGATATATTTTTTTCTTCTTTGGATGACGTGAGGACGTTTCTGACACGGGTTTATTTTTACAGAGGGTATTCCAACTCGAGGGATCGATTTCAGCGGGCTTTATTTTGGCACATCCATTGTATTGCTGATTCAGTGAAAACTGAAATTCAACCGTTGTTTCATCAGAGGTTGAAGCTTTTTCAGGAACATACGGTACTGTACCTAAATTAAAATTGCTCAGTTGCCGATTATAATGCATTGGTGATGAAAGGCATGACTGGGTGGTTGTCCCATAATTTTGCACCGGAAAAGTAGGAATTTTAAAATCGCCTATCGATGGGCGACTCTTCCATTTTTTAATTCTTCCTAATTGAATGATTCGAGATTTCTCGAAAATATAAATGAAGGAAATTTTTCAGATTTTCCTGTGAAATGATACGAATGGTCGAATTGCTCCGATTTCGTTCATGTTACTCTAATATAACTTTATACAGAATTCATCGTCTAACGAAATTTTACTGTTTTGGGAAAAGTACCGTAATGTAGAAAATAGGATTCGTACGCTATTTTGGAATACTGTACTGTATTGACATGCTGTATTACGTCAGACGACATTTTTCTGGACAAACATGTACCTTAGAATTCGTTCTATAGCTTCTCACCATTACAAATCGAGTTACAGTACAGTATTTAGATTTCCATGTTCTTGGTACTATGTAAAACTCTATCGTCATGTTTCATGATTAGCCTATAATTGCTAAAATATTTTTTTCTCGTGTTTGGAATTCGCAACTACGTTGTACTCACTCTTGTTCGGCCCACAGAATTAGGAACATTTCTGATGCACTCGGATTTTCATGTTACCTCAGAAACTATGGCTTAAATATGAGCTGTCTTCGATTCAGTGCTGTATGATGTACAGTGAAGTCTCATTACATCAAACTCGTGGGGACTCCAGAAAAAAAATTGTTATGACGAGATTTTTGACCGATTGGAAGATTTTCTGAAAATTAAACCTTCATAAATTCAACATCCTTTTGCACGCTTTTCAGCTGTTTCTTCGCATTTAAGAAGCTGCATTTATCTAAAAGAAGTTGAAGTGTTAATCACAAACATTTATTCTGAATAACTGGTCAACACGAACACTTCCTTTCGGTAAATCAAGTTTTTCCCATTTTGAATGGGACATTTGAGACTGCCTGCATTCATCGAGGATTTTTATTCAAGAAATCACATGTTACCTTGAAAAGTTTGTGTTGAGAGACTTCGAAAAAAGTTTGTTTCTTTGAAAAATTTGTAGCAAGATTTTACTGTATGTCTTTCTTAAATGAGTAATTCACTGAACATGGTTCGATGGAGACCTGGGGATCGAAGGGAGTGAGTGGAAACAACGTGTCATCACGCGTTCGTCTCGTGGGATCCGGACGAAGAAAAAAGGAAGACTCGGAGGCTTGTCTGAGAAACTGCTTCCCGGGCAAGTTTACGCGACCCAATTCCTCGGCACTGCTGAGCCCATCCGTTTACTGCATGTGGCAGTCTGGTATGCTCGAATGATGGGGACATTAGCTTTTTGGGGGGGGGGGGGGGGGTGAAGCGAATTTCTCTTCAAGCATCTTGAAGACAGGGAAAAGTGGACCAGAGATTTTGAGCTCGATCTGGTTTGAGAGTAAAATCCCGTGGCGTTATCGTGATCTGTTCTCTAAAGCATGTGCGAATCTGCGTCTATTTCTAACATTTCGTCAATCGTCATGCTTTTGTTGCTCCATCAACGAAGATGTCATTCATAGAAATCAGCATTTCTGAAATTCAGTCAATGAAATCAGAAAATAATGTAATGTACTATACTCGTACTGTGTATACAGGCGCGGACCAGTTTTGATCTATCGAAAAAAGAAAAAGAAAACCTGGAAGGACCGGATTAAGTTATGGGCGGCTTTTCAAATAACTTTCGAATTTACTAAACCCGTATTCGGTCTGTCAGGGAAATATTTTCGTTGTGAAAAATCTGTTTCTCTTGGAAGTCGGCTTTGTGAATATTGGTGTCATTTTAATGAATCTTAACTGAAGAACTATTTGTAATGCAATTTTGAGGCGCGTGATGTCATGTCATGCTTCCATTAAATGCTTTAACCTGCATGTGGGTTATGGGAATTGCAGTACTGTATTTAGAAAAAATGGAAGAGAACGCTGCGGTAAATTACGACGTTGTACATTTTTTTTGTGCTGAGAATGCCATGGAAAGTCGAGGCAAACGTGGCTTTTTATTCTATGATGGATGTTCGTCTTCCTATTTTTTGATGAGGCATCGATATTTTTCTGATGAATGAAGATACAGTATTTCCCTCGTGAAATATATTTTGTGTTGAGAACACAGAGTCCCTGAAAGGCTAGACACCCCCCAGTGGTGCCTGTTTTGCTCTTCTGGGCTTCCTTCCGCCGTGGTGTGGGAGCCCCAGCGCGTCTGGCATCCATCACACGGCTCCGGGCCGGGCTGTCATTTTCTTTCTTCTCTTTTTTGCCGGGGCCGAGGCAAGTGATGCGTTCCATGTCGTGACGGTGACACAGTTGGCAACCATCTTGGCGCGCCTGCTTGGGGGGCTCTCTCTTCTATCCATCTTTTTTTTTTCATTTTCCTCTTCGCTCTCGCCGTCTGCGCTCTATAGTCAATGCTGAGCAGTGTGTGGCCGGTTGAGGCGAGCGGGAAAAGAAAATGGCCGGATTAATCGGGTGGTTCACGCGCAGTTGGTTTTCTGTGTCAAGGATTTCTTGTCGGCCGCGACCACTTCAGTCAGATTACGAGAAACGATATTATTGCTAGTTACAGACCAGTGGTGCGTGCGGTTTTTTTTTTCGGGTTTTCTTCGATTTGGGGATGCAGGGCTTGAGCTGCAGACCAGAAGGAGATGCGAATTTCGAACAAGGGTCTCGTGAAGAGGCAAGTACGTGTCTCGGTTGTATTGGTGCCAAGTCTTGATTCCATCAATTCTTCTGTTCCTTTGAGAACGACCGGTTGTGGTGGCTTTTGCCCATGTCTCCGTTCGTCCTTTTCTTCGAAGCCAAACGTGGTGATCAATTCAGGTTCACCAGGAATTCGTATTTTTATGACGAATGATTCGTCTTCCGATTTTCTGTGATCGAACATTTTTTTCGTTGATTCATTGTGTTTTGTAGGTTTGACGATATGATGAATTATATCCCTTCTCTGCAAATGATTACCTAAAGATTAATGTCATTTTTCCTCATACAATACATAACAGTAATCACGATTATTGCGTTAATTGGTGTAAAAGTGTATGTGCGGCAATTATTGACGTAAGTCGAGTATTTCGTATTCACGCCCATCAAATTGATGGTCGAGTATCGTTTTTTTTTCTCTTGTCCGTGTGGTCCGCTTCACTAATCTAATGCTCATATACAATTTTAGCCGAATCCCCACAATTCAATGCTAGATGAAAATCGGTGTCGCGAACGTCTTCATGCGCATAATATGGGTATAATCGAATAGTTCATGGTTCATTCCGGTGGATTGCTTCGGCTCAAGAAACAAATCCAATGATTTCACGCCCGAGTCAACGTGGCGTTCGCTGATCCCTCGAAGTTCGACTTCAGCACAACGCTGATCGATACGAGGAACTCCAGTAAGATTAAAATCCCTGAACTTCAGAACTTCTTAATTTAGAATATTCCTCCGAAAAGTTCAGTCGTCAATCTCGAGCCAATCACGCGATCCCACCTGCGGTGCACCCCACCTGGAAAAACCGCGAAGTCCGCCCAGCGGAACAAAAAAATTCTTCCCTCCCCCAGCAGCGATTCCCCTTAGGGATTAATGACTTTCCCTCCGGACTTGAGAGGGAGGAAAATAACCATACACCTGTCCTCCCCACCGGAACTGACACGCCACGACCGCCTCAAGATTCACACACAGGTGAGGGGTGGAAGAAGAAAAAAAAAAGCAAGCCTGAGTAGGACGTCGGGATCTCTTGCGGCACCCAATAGGCGAACCCGGCTCTCTCTCCCACCTGCGCCATAGTCGCTTGATCAATTCTACGGTCCGACGCTCCCAGCCAATCGCCGCGTTGCAATTCGTAACCCAGGTGAGCTCGCCTGCGAGCGAATGTATGTACAGTACAGGGCACGAGGAATCAAGTCCCAACAGTCAACCGCTTACCCAATTAGAAAACCCGCCGCGTCGCATCCAATACTTTACTGCACACGCTGCGAACCATGTACAGCATCATATTTGCATTTGAAGCGCGGTGATCAACAACCAACCATGCTCTCTGTACAACGCATACTTCTTCTCTCCCACGCGCATCGTGTCTTTGAAGAGATTGACCATCCTTGTAAAATAATGGCTCGGGATCATTTAGTACGTACGATAGGGGATTTACCACTGACAATTTCATTTTCGAGAACTATGAAAAACTGAGAAGCTGATTTGTGGCTTACCCTTCAGCCAAAAATTGCTTTCGCTTGAATCAACTATTATACTCTATATCACCCCTGAAATGAATATTTCACGATTTAGTTGACGTGCCATTAAGATGAAATGTTATCGACGATGGCCAGTAGACGATAGCACACTTGACGCTGCTTTTTGGAAGAATGGCGGATTTATCAATAATGAGTCAAAAAGAATTGTTCGAAATACCGGATATTGTAATGGGTGCTGTTCTGGGCATTGACTTGCTTCTCAGATGAGTTGACAGGATGCTGAACTTTTGAGGCGTGGTTTCCATTACCCGATCAGTCCTTAATTTCCTTTCGAAGCACATCCTTGCATTATCATTGTTTTTCTTTTATCCTGTGTCAATAAAATACGTAATAGCCTAATGGCTTCCAGAAAATTAGTTTTGAGGTTTTTTGCATTGATTCTAAGGGGATTCACGCGGGGACTTGGAAAAAAATTAAGGTATATTTCCCTTGGAAATGCTTTTTTTTTTAAGTTGACAGTACTTCATTATAATATGAATGAACCCGCCTTTCTATGACTGAGCCGTTGCGCAAGTCCCAGTTTTGAACGAAATTTTCGTTTCTGCTCAGCTGAGTGAAACACGTGAATTAATTTCCTCTCTTTTTTTCGCAGGTTTTGAGCAGACTTCAACGTCGAAATGGGAAAGCAAACTTTCTGGGCTTCGGACCGAAGGAAAAAGTTCGTGATGGGTGCATTGGCCGGAAGGAACAAAAGCATTGTCGGCGAGCCCTTATCATTTTGCTGTCCGGTCGGATTTTTTGGTCACTGGACGGAGAACTGATAAGGGCTTGCGGGTGCTCCTCGAAATGTTCTGAAAAGAAGATTTTTTCTTCTACAAGGCGTGGACAGGAAGTTCTGCTGAGCTGGCAGAGAGAATGATGGCGGCTGTGGAAATTCGAATTCCGAACTCTGAATCTGTCTCATTTCCGCTGTTTCGTACCGAACTTTCCCGCGAAGACTTGAATTCGTCGATTGATTGCTGCTTACTTTCTGAATAGTTACAGAGGAAGTTATTTCCTGCTCTATAAAATCTTCTGGCTCTTGATCGTATGCTTCGTGTAAGGGACGGATTGTCCCCAGTAAAGAAAGTTGTCACGTTCTACAATAGTTATGGGAGTATGAAACCTGTCTCGCATATTCGTTAAGTCACGCTATAATTTAAAATAATTATTTTATTTGTGAAATTCAGATTCAGTTGAACTTCTGATTTCTCGTAACCACAATTTATTTCGAGAATTGACCAAAAATTTCCTCGGGGCTTCATTTTTCCTGGAATCGGTGCAATGCCAAGGTAACAGTCGAAATAATAATGTACAATACTCGGGATATAATTTTTCCTTTTTACGTTGTCCGTATGTACAGTTCAGGAAAATTAGGGTGGTTGTCTAGCTTGATGGAAAAGTAATTAGAGTTTAAATCACATGTATGCAGATGTAAGTGACCCATAGTTCAATTAGTAATGCGGATCTACTGCCGTGTAAGAACCTGGACGCAATTTTAAGAGACAATATTTTTTTTTTTTCGGGATTGAACGGATGAAGATCAGCGGGAAAGACAGTCTTCGGATACGAACTGAGTTCGGAATTGAATTAACAAGCTTATTTTCGACGTTCTCTGTCAGCATTTTGCCTGTTCTAATGCGATTCGGTTTATACTGGTGTGCATACCTGCGATGTTGCTGAAAGTGTTTCAACTCCGTGTTTGTGGCAAGGAATAAATCGGCATTTTTCACTTGAGATTATGAAATTATTTTTGACGGAAAACCAAGCGGATTGGGCCTGTATCTACATCCCTGATGAAATCCGATCTGAGTCATCAGTGAGGAAAGAAACCAGATTTACTCAATGAAATCCACGGTACAGTCGACCCTTGGTTAACAAACTTTTTGCCTGCAAGAAAAATCCCTTGGTTGAAAAATTAAAATTTGGTGAACTAACTTTTTTCAGAAAATTCCAAAATTTGATTTCGAGGCTGAATTTTATGGTGCCATCTAAGTGCGAATTTTTCATATTTGCACTTGAATACAAATTCCTGCCTTTTGGAATTTTATCATGTGTAATCTTTTGCTTCTGTTGTTTTCTATCCAGCCAATCTCATATTAACATACAATATTCATATGCTCCTTCTGTGGCAGAATTATTTCCTTTTGTGTTCTTGCTTTTGTTCATTGCACCCATGTGTGTAGTAGAACTGTGCTTATTCATTCAATATTCAAATAGTTGTTGGGTGTTCATTAATTTTCCACAAGATTTTCAAAAATATTTGTGAAAATTGTGTTACAAATTTGTGCAAAAACTGATGACTTCAGTAGACCATTCTCTTGCACGTCTTCAAAGAAGAACTGTACAAATGTTAAACATACAGACTTTAAATTTTTTAATGATGTAATTGTTTTCTCATTTTCAACTAGACGATTTTCCTGTATTCCAAGAAATATCTGTGAACTGTTATAGCAGCATGAAGAGTCATTTGTTTCACATTGATCATCAAAAGCAGATTTTTTTTCTTCGCAAGTTTCAATTCTCTGAAAAAGTTCTGCATCTGTAAAATCCCCCAGCCAATTAATTTGCCTTGATTTTATTTTTCAAAATGATCATCATTGTTGACTTGTTTGGGAGTCTCTGTGGCCAAACTTACAACCTTGCCTTAACTCTTTAAAAACCATCAAATGCAAGCTCTTGTTATGATGGAGAATAAATTGGGACTTCGTCAATGGAATTTAACTTCATTTTTTTTAATGCTGTGCAGTTCTCTTTCAAAAGCCCTTTACAACCGCTGACATGTGCAAAGCTTTGTAAAAATTTGAGAAAGTAAGAAGTTCATTGTTAAGTGAAAGAAATGGCATTTCTGATTGTTTAGTGAATAAGAGAAGCAATCCGCTATCAATTGGGAATCATTTTCAGATCATACAACATTTAAAAAGACAGGTCCCAAATGTTTCTAGAGGAAAGGAGCACCTCTCATTGGACGCATTTGAGTTCCAATGAACCAGTCAAGCAAACCAAAATCATTCGAAAGATGTATGGCTTACACAACATATTTTATGGTGTTCACCTTTTAATTGCAGAACGAGAGGTGCACAATGGTTTCAGCTCAACCAATGAGATAGGTGCTAATTTGGCTTCAGTATAAGAAGTTGTGGATTGCATACAAAGGCAATTAAAAGACGTTTTTACACTTGCTCATTTTTACTTGCAGCATTAAATAAGCAGAACAAGTCAATTTCAGGTGACATGTAACCTCCGGTGTGTGTTCCTTTGGATGTGAAGCTGTTTAAACATTGTTTTCATAACTGCTGATTCACCCAAGCGCTACAAAAACATTCTGGGCACACACAAGATGCAGCAACAACTCATTCTGATTACATTTAAAGGTTCTGAATTTTAAAAATTCATTTTTTGGTTCACAGAGTGGATTGAATTCTTCCTCATTGAAGTTTATGGGAAAATCAAATTTGTTTAACAAAAGTTTTGTCTGGAACCAATTGACTTTGTTAACCGATGGTTGACTGTACTGATGTATTCTTGGAAGTACTGTACACTTTTCTGTCACCAGCTGTGCAAGAGGAAAGTGCAGCGGAGGCCGATCAGTAGGCCCACAAGAAATCATCATTAGGAGCGTCACCTATATCATGTTATCCAGAAAGCCGGGATGCATCATTCAGTACGTTCGTTTTACGTGTTCGTCAGAGAGGGTGGTGTGCATGTGAATCATGCTCGTTGGTGCGGTATACTGTATCTCGATCCCCTGAATTCTCCAGGATTGCGCAATTATTAAATGTTGTCGTTGTGTGAATTCTGAGAGGGTTAACTGAGACGAGATTTTCGTTGTTTGCGTAGGATGTGTTGAGTGAAGGTACAGTATGAGGTGGCGCCATGCGTTGATGAATGATGCCCATCGTCGTGAAAGAAACAGAGAGCGTGTGATGTAACTCGAGCATGATTGCCAGAAGCGAGCCTCGAGGGAGATCGTAGTGGGCTGATCTATCGACAGGTTTGTCTGTTCAGCTTTTGCTTCCGAAGCCTGAGATATGTGTGTACAGTGCAGTATTTACGGATGACGGCAAGCTTTTCAATTTAACGGATTTTTCTTCACCAGATGCACTTGTTCGCGATCAGATGGCTCAGTTTCTCAGGAAAATGTTAAGCCTCCTGCGTGAATGATTTACATGAGTATTCCTCTGGATATTTTTGCCGAACGTGAGATTACCATCCGTGACTCAGCCCCGGCTTATTTTATTTCATTCTTTGTGACCAAGATACGCGTGTTATCGGCGATAATTTATTTGCTTCACATTCTTACGCGAATGCAATGCGCAGTGCCTGTTACTAAAAAAATATTTGAATTCTTGCAGGTGTGTGCCCGAAGTATTGCGGCAGCTGTATTTGTGCCGTGCTTGGAACAGTTACCAAATAGGATTTTCCGAAGATGACATCATTGGTCGATTCATCAATTGATGCCATTTCTGAAGCTGAATTTCAGGATCTCAAAGTGACCTGCAAAACGAAAGAGGCAACCGTTTCTTTAGAGGCGAAAAGTGAACTCATCAATTCAATTTTGAAGGAAGTAGATCTGTTCGATCCCCTGGAGCTGGAAGGTTTGGACCCGAAGTAAGTTCACGTTTTAGGTACATTAATACACTCAACACTTCGTGATCGATTCGATTTCTCAACCTGGTATTTGTCTTCGGATTTATTTGATGCGAACGAGCCTTATGATTCTTGGCATTTTCTATATTTTATTATTTTAATTCGGTAATTGACGATACGAGAAGTGTTTTGTCCATTATAATCTGCGTTGTTGCAATCCTTACGAAAATCCACAACCATATGTTGAGCTGTTTGCTAATGTGGTATATCTTTTCAGAAATTCTTTGGGGCTCTATCGCCCTGTTTCTGGGAACGAAAAACTTACGTTACGGCCGCTGAAGTCCGGAGATTTCCATCGCGGCTATGTCAAGCTTTTATCTCAACTCTCCTTGGCTGGGGACATCGATGAAGACAAGTTCCTAAATGCCTTCAGTCTTATGAAGCGGTGTCCCGAAACTTATTACGTCTACGTGGTGGAATCGCCTGCGGATGGCGGCCGTGTCATTGCAACTGCCACCGTGATTATGGAGCAAAAATTTCTCCGTGGATGTACGAAACGGGGATTTTTGGAAGATGTGGTTGTCTGCGATTCGCACCGAAACCGACAACTGGGGAAATTTATGATTGCAGTTGGACAAGAGCTTTCGAAAAGGAAGAACGCATACAAATTCACGTTGAATTGTAGGGATGACATGGTGCCTTTTTATGCAAAGCTTGGATTCGTTTCAGAACCACAGAATGATAATTTCATGAGCATGCGGTTCGATACACGTCCAAACCCTGTGTGAATCTCTTTTGTTATCGTCAATTTGCAATCGTCTTGATAAGAGAACAAAGATATTCTAGGAGAAACGTATTTTGGGTTCGATTGAAATGAAAGTTTGTTGGGGATGACTTCCGGATGTGATTCATATGCCATGCTACTGAGTGGTGGATTGTATCTGATCGTGATTCAGTTTGATTCGCTTTTCAGACTTTTTTACCATGCCGTCTGTATTGATGGCAGAACTTCAAGCATTCGAATCTCCAGGTGAGTGAACTGAGATCTGCTCGAGTAAGATAGTGACACTGAATTCAAGGATCGATTTAGTCAAGGAACCCTGGCCAGATGATGTGGAAATGTACGTGACGCATGAAGTGGAGCAAATCCTTCTTCCCGAAAGTTCGTCATGTCTTGCAGTGCAGGCTTTCTTCAGGATGTGTGGACTGCGTTACAAATTGCAAATGAGAATAAATGCCGAGAGTATGTCGCCGTCGGGAAAAATTCCCTTCATTCGGTGTGGAAAAGCGGTTGTATCAGAACTCGATCCAATTGTTTCGTTTGTCGCGCACAGGGTAAGGTTTATGATAATGCTGTGTTTGCCACTTTTAAGTTTTTCTTCTTACTTTATAAGGGGATATCATTAACGACCGAATTGTCAGACGTGGAGAAGTCTGACATGAGAGCTTACATGTCTCTAGTCTACAATGTTCTCGGCAATGCGGAGGTAATGCGAATATTATGCAATTTTTGAAGAAGAAACTTTCGAATTTTCCGCGTTGTAGCAACATTTGATGTGGTGTGATCGAGTGACGTTCTTGGAAGTCACGTACCCGAGATTCACGTCTGCATTTCCCCGTCCGTTGGGTGGGATTTTGTGTTATTTGCGCCAGAGGAAGATGCGAAAGAAGTTGCGAGTGATAGATTGGGAAAGCAAGGATTTGGAGAAGGTTTACAGTGAAATCGACAATTGTTGCCGAGTTTTATCAGAGCGCCTCGGGTCTCAAAAGTATTTCTTCGGGAACAAGTGGGTGCATGCATGCGTTTTGATTTGTTCTTTTTCCACTCGCGGTTCCATGCAGTAGTTTCCTGGAAACGAGTCTGTCTTCAAAAATAATTATTCGTGTACGGATGCATTATTTTTTGCGTCTTTCATCATCAAAACGTCCCTATTGATTAAAGTCAATAAACGCATATGTCGACCTTTTTCATTTGTACACCATTCAGGTTGGTTATATCAAAGTATATTAAGGTTGGTTACAAGGTGTCAAACTGTGTATGGTTACATCGAATAAGTACGAAAATATGTTGAATATTATGTGTTGCCGAAAAAAGGTTCCGTGTGTCGCAGCGTAAAAATTTCCGGGAACCTCCAACTGTGAACTGGAGCTCATAAAACATTCGTTCATTGCATGCAGGTGTTCGGATAAACGTGTATAGTACGAATTTTGGCTATTTTTACAGGCCTACAGAACTTGACGCGTTGGTTTTTGGTCACCTGTTCTCCCTCCTCACCACGCATTTACCGGATTCTCGGCTGTCCGCTGTCGTGCACACATACGATAACCTCGTGGAGCTATGTAGTACGGTGGAGAACGAATTTTTCCAGCGGATTGAGGGCTCTGTCTCGCTCAAGTGATGCTCTGAGTGTATTATTTAGTCGTCGAAGGAGGTTGAGTAAAGCAGGTTCTTCTTAGGGCGGTCGAGCGTGATCTTATTTATGAAGTATCCTATTCGTGATAACCATTATTGAATAATTTTGCAGGATCTCCGCGTTGTGGTGAGTGAAATCGGTTGTGACCATGCGGCGTATGTTCGGAGCGGCGAAACCAAAGGCGCCACCCCCGGCGCTTAGTGACTGTATTGCAAGTGTGAGTTCAATATTGATTTAATTTCAAATGTTCATTATTGTCGTCCACGTGTAATTTGTACGTTAGAATGTTCAGGAAGTGAAGCGAATCACCGGAATTTCATCTTGAAAGTTCATAACTTTTTTCTGTGTATGCGGGAAAAAAACTGAGTGTTGCGTTTAAAGCAATTTTGGGATCTGGGTCTTTTCAAGAATAATTTTCCTCGATGACGGTGTGAAGAAAATAATTTAAAGCTTGGTGATATGTTGAAAAGAGCTAAAAATATAATGCAGTGTTCATATTTTTCGATCGCTTGTCAAAGGTAACTTCGAGTGTTTCAATTCGTGCTTAAGATAAAATTCACTTCCTGGATGATTTATTTTTGCGAAGTTCTATGTCTTGTCCCGATATTTCATGTGAATTACTGGTTCACACAATGCAATTTGTATATTTGTGTCATTTATTTTACAGGTGGACTCACGAGCGGAATCAATTGACAAAAAAATTGCCAGACTTGATGCGGAGCTGCGGAAGTACAAAGATCAAATGGCTAAAATGCGCGAAGGTCCGGCGAAAAATGCAGTGAAGCAGAAAGCTTTGCGTGTTTTAAAGCAAAAGAAAATGTTCGTTATCCTCTTTCTTTTCTTTTCCGAGTTTCCAACGCAGAATTTGTCCTTTTTTGAAGGTATGAGAATCAATCGGATAATTTGAGAGCACAATCTTTCAATATGGAGCAGGCTAATTTTGCCACTGAGACTCTGAAAGATACGCAAGCCACCGTTGCGGCCATGAAGGTTGGCGTGAAAACCATGCAAAAGGAGTTCAAGAAGATCAACATCGATCAAATTGATGTGAATACCTTGATTTATATTTGATGTGTCGATGAGCTTCATTTTGGCTTTGTTTGTTCCTAGGATTTGCAAGATGAATTGGCAGACATGCTACAGGATGCCGATGAAATTCAAGAAACGCTTGGAAGGTCAGAAGACGAGTTCAAAATCCCTCAAAACTTTTTTAAACATTCTATTTTGAAAGGGATTTTGCTGAATAAGAAGTCTAAGCTGAAAAACAGAGTGAATTACGGAAGCTATTTTTGCGAAGGGTGGAAATTTTAAATATTTACTGTATATTCGTGAAGCTAATGTAGATTTAAAACGGGCCAGAACTTGGGAAATTCTGAAATCAACTGCGATTAATACCTGTACAAACGAAAGCGATTTTTTCAATACGCATAATTCATATTGTACCTGCATTGTGCAGCAATTGCCTTATATTAAGCTTAACTCCCATTTCTGTGTGTACTGTACAGTATATCCAACCTTTCATTCGAAGGCGCGATTTAAAATGTTAATCTTTCTCTTTCCTGTAGATCGTATGCGACTCCAGATATTGACGAGTCGGAGCTTGAGGCCGAACTCGATGCCTTGGGAGACGAAATCGGTCTGGACGCCGATTCCAGTTACCTTGATGAAATAGCCGCTCCGAACGCCCCAAGTCGAGAGCCTGGTGCTGAATCCGTCAACGCCGTGAGAAATTTTGAAACCGTTTTCGAAGTTTCATAATCAGCTGCACAGTTTAGCCTACGTGTCATTTTCTCTGCTTTGCGATCCTCGTTTTTTTTTTTTCGGAAGCCCTTGCGATTTTTCTAGTGCGGTAAAATGTATTTGAAGTGTAATTCGTAATTCTTTTGGAAAATTAACTCTTTTTATTTATTCCTTGACATAGGATGGAGTTCTCGTGGACGAATTTGGACTCCCACAATTGCCCGCATCATGAAGCTAGCAGATTTATCCAAGTCAGTCCTCGTAACATGAAAAAAATATTTTTCAGCGCGTTGAAGCTTCTCGCGAACTCCTGGCGTTTTATCGTGGATTCCTGAAATTGTGAATGTGATGAGTCGGATGTTTTGGTTGCGAATGTACCGTGATGGTTATATTCCTGAATCAGGACTTAGTTATGTACCCACATTCAATGGCATTTTTCGAGCTTGATCGTTAGGCGCTGGGAAATAATGTGTACATCTTTTGCGACTACATGTAATTTGAACTGTCCTATGACTTGTTGAGTGTCTTCTTATTCTTTTGTGTGAGACGGATTTTACATTTTCAGGAAGTGAATGGTTTGATGTATGTGTAAAAGGTGGTTGAATGGCAAGTGTGAGGCGTCGACGAGCTGTTGTTTTTGGTTGATGATTTTTTCTTGAAGGGCTGAATCAAATAATCATGGTGAGCAGCTGCGAAACGGATCTCGATTTACAGAGTGATGTCAGTTCGTTTCATTTTTTTTTTCAGGCGCTTTTTGGATTCCAATTGGCCTTGACGATGATCATGGCGAGTTTCTTGCAGAAACTCGGCGTGTATTATTCGTTTGGGAGATGGTTGTTGTGTTCAACCGGGTGAGGCGTTGTGGTCATTTTCGATTACTGTTTTATCTACCACACTGCAAAATAAATGGGTTACAATTTTTATCGTTGGACATTTCTCGCTACTCGAACTCCTGAAAAATGATAAAAAAGTAGCAGAAATTTTATTCGGTCGGTGCATCATCCTGATCAGACCCAGAAACTTGAAATTTTTTTAAACTCCCCAAGTGCTTTAAGTTGTCAATTTGGTCATTGAATCCGTGCTTTTGGTAGCATCATGTATTTTATCTGAGGAAATTTACCTTTTCAATAATCGTCGCAGGCTTACGAGGTTCTTGTACCCGACTGATGTCGAATTGAAGACGCTCATGAAGGCTCAAACTCATGAAAAAAGTAGACGGAGACATAAAGAGAAGGAGGGAGAAGTGAAGTCTTCTTTCATGGTTCCGAGGAACTTGGATATTCCTGTGAGTAAAATGAAAATTTCATTTTTTCCTTGAACACCTTTCCCATTTTCCCGAATCTGGGATGTAAATTCAGTCAGCGTTTGTGTTCGCTTTCATTCAATGTTCAACGTTGAAGTTTAATTTAGAATGGTTTTATGCTTCTGACACCTGTATACCATTCACTGGTATATTGCCAGAAATTACTTAAATTTTTTTTTAATGCAAGCGTCGTCTTCGTTATGATTTTTTCAGTTGGAAACGGCGAAGGTATCTTCGACTGACGTCGGGCAGCTCAAGTTTTACACAGAGTATCAGTGGCTATTGGATTTTTCGTTGTTTTCCATTTTTGTATACGCCATTTCGGAGGTTAGTCGCTCATGTGTGTAAACTGTAAAGCGTTATATATCTCTTCAACTTTCGTATCGTCGTCTGTTCCTTGTTTAGTGGTACTATTACTACTTCGAGTCTTCCTCGACTGAGATCAACCTCAGCCTGTTGTGGTGTCTGCTGGTCCTGGGCTTTACCCTGTAAGTTTTCTTGGGTTTTTTGTTTGTATTACTGTGTACGGTGAAGGATTCTTGTCAGAAGCATTTGGGCGGTACGAGGTACTGTATAAAGTAGCCTGAAATGGAGTCTTATTTATGATATCCAAATTTTCAAGGTAGAATCGACCGAAACGATGTGAGTCTACGGTATCACAAGATTTACAATCCCTATTCAGGATACATGTACAGTACTTCTCTTACACCGAATGACAATTTAGGTCAGTGTTCATATTCAGAAAAATTAAAGGATTGCCTCGATCAGAATTGGAAGAGGGTGGTCAGATCTGACAAGTAGATTTCGAAAAAATTAAAAATTTAATTAACTTGGACTGGTTTCAGATTCATGGGACGTTTACTGTAGTGGGTGTAGTAAACTATGGTTGGTGAATTTTATTTCCTCACAGTAATAGTGGGCTGTGGTCTACGTATTAACGTATGTCCCTCTTCATTTATCTGTGAGGAATCGGCTATTTTTCATGAAATGGCCGAATACTGTAATCCGTAAAATATATTGCACAGTACCTCCATCTCGTAAAAGATTTTTTTATTCATTTTGGGTTATTTTAGTTCGGTCCGTGATTCAGGCAACTTCCTGTATATCAGAAGATTAGGAAATCCGAAGTCCAGATTTAAAGCAAAAATAAAATCATGAATTAGTTTAATGAATCGCTCCTTGGAAATTCAATTCAACAATTGATCGAATTTTGGTCTACGCAGGAAAATACTATGGTCTGTGACTAAGCTGTACTTCCTTGGAGATGAAGCCATGGGTGAGCGGTCAATGTGCATCGTGGCTGGTTGTGCGTATCTAGTCGTGGCCATGGCCTTGTTGGTAGTTGATGAGGATACCCTGGAGCTGGGCCTGGACGCTGCCTACGCTTCGTTCAAAGTCCGTGCCGCAGTTTTTATGCAGGAACGAGGAATTGAGCATGAGTGAGAGATTTTTTCGTCTTGCTATTTCGGCTATGAATTGATTTGTGAAAACCGAGCACCTGTCCATCCTTACTCAACTTAGCGAACAATCCAGTTTTGAGAGGTTGTGCGTCGAGATGTTTTGATATGATAGAGAAGTTTGGGTTAAAAATATCATGGGTTTCCTTCAGTCGCGACCAATGCTTGAATGGGATTCGAATGGATTACGGAAAGTCTGAAGAACTTTTTGGAAGTCTTGGCTAAAAATGTGGTAAAATAATCTTTTGACAGTGCTGTAGTTAAGTTTAGATTCAGAATCATTAATGTATTCCGCTTTCACAGAATTTTTCAAAAAGAGTCTCAAATTTTCCTATCTCATAATTGAAGATTACGATTGTGAATCGAACTTTTGGCGTGATGTAAAGATTAAAGAGTGTCTCGGATTTTTAGGTGATTTTTTTATGATATTGAAGTTAAATGTCGATATTCAAATGTTTTGTTTTCTTTTTTGAACAGTGGGCCAGCGTCGAAACTTATTCTTAAGTTTGCATTAGCTACCAAAGCCGCAATCTTGGGAGCGTTCCTGACATTTCCCGGCTTCCGCCTGGCGCAAATGCATTGGGACGCTTTGCGGAAGTATGGAAGTTCGTCGGAAGAAGACAGTGGAATTACGAGAGCGAGGAAAGTGCTATTCGTGGGATTGTTACACGTCAACTATATTGCGCCGTTGGTGGTTGTCCTGGCTTGGGTTCGTCCGTTGGCGAGAGACTACTTCACCTTGCGAGTGTGGTCTGGGATGAGCGGCCCTTTGTAAGGAATTTTTTTATGAAGTCCTTGTCCCTCTTTGTAGAATAAATTCTTGCCGATGAGGTTTAGTTTATCTCAAAAAATCTTCAGTGTCTTCAAGATTAACTATTGTAGTTTTTTTAGTGCGAGAGGAGAATTGAAACAGAAAGCGACGTCAGCGGACGGATTGTAATTGTAGGATGTTAATTTATCAAAGTTTCTGATTCTCTTGTTGGATTATTGAGGTAGGTGTGATGCCATTGTGATGTTGAAAATGATCGTTTTTCCAATTCTGCTGATTTAAAACGACATAAAAATGCGTACCCTGCAATGAATTGCCTTATTTTGTCTGCTGCGAAGAGCAAATGCTTTTAATGTGTGCAGGTGTCACTCGCAGTCGCAATTGCGTTTCGATTTCGTTCCGTTTCGAAGTACAGTACTTTACTATACCCATACAATTGACAGAATGCTGCATTTCCGATTGTAATATTGAGAGAACTAGAGAGAAAATTTGTTGAGCGACATCGGTTATAATTCTCAATCTTATTAATTTGGATTCTTTTATGCAGGATGTCGGAAGCGGCATTTGAAACAGGAAGGCTGTGGCTGATCGTGGCTGTGCTGCTTTTGCGTCTTGTCCTGATGCCTTTCTACCTCCAAGCTTATCTGAACCTCGCGTACAAGAGAATTGCGAAACAGAAAAAGGAGGCCGGAAAAATCAGCAATAAAGATATTCAGCGTGGGGTAAGTTTATTATGTTTAATGCTTTTCTTCGCAGTGACTGATCGGAAAAAAAATTTTCCATTGAAAATGGTTTCTGCGTAATAACTGTAAATTTGAAGCGAATGGTGTATTTGTTTAAGGCAAATTGTCAGTTGGCGTCGACAAATGCTTCCCGGATTTCACTGCGAAAAAATTATGCTTTATATTTTTCAGGTAGCAAGAGTTTTCTACTATCTGTGCGTTGTCACGTTGCAGTATGCAGCTCCTATGATCCTGTGTTTGTTCCAGCTGTTCATTCTGAAGTCTGCTGGTAAGTTCTTCGCGCGATACCTTTATGGCCAGAGAATCCTTTTCCTTGGTGAATGCAATTTCAATGTGATTTTTATTTTTTTCCGTGGTACACTTTTAAGAGAGCTTATGATTGTCAGTAATTATCACTCGATAGTATGGGGTTTTCTGCGATCAGTAATTCATAACGAAGTTATTTCTGGTTTTTCTGTTCCTTTTCCCTCAGAAATTTTCGAATTGTTAATTCTTCGGGCTCCCTCGTGTTTTTCTTCTGTAGGAGGTTATTCTTGGTCTATCAGCGATGAGCTCGAATGTCCAGCGGATGACATTATGGCGAAAGCCGCGTTTTTATCGGACGAAATGGGCGCGGCAGAGTCAACTTTTCCAAATCTCACGAAGCAGATGAGTTTGACGTTATCATCTGTGCGAGCTGTGTTCTCCGAAACTGTTATTCGTGGTGTGTTGTCCTTTACCCTGTGGTGGACTGGGTTCACGTGGTTCTCTTCGTCTGCGATTGGTATATTGTACCATTCGTATTTTGCGAAAGAGGATTGAATCTGTTGAGTTTGGCGGACACGCGATATATTTGTCTAATTTTTTTTTTCATTGTAAGTTGATGGAAATTATCAAAGTAGGTCCTTGCCATTGATTTTAATTTTTCGTTCCTTTTGACTGGTCGTTGTCTCTTATCAAGAAGTGGACCGGCTCTTCAAAACACCCTTGCCATATTTATGTTGAAAAGCCCGCGGAAAATAGATCTTCGGAAGAGTTTTGCAGGATTACAACCACCTGGCGTGTGTTCCTGGCAGTCTAGACTTGTTTGCTCTGTTTCTGAATTGTTATTGAAGGTGCCCCGTGTTGGCAATAAAACGAAAAAGTGTTCCCGCAGTTTATTTCGCCTTGCATTCATTTTCTGTAAGCGCGTGTGAAGATTGGAAATAAGGAAAATTTTCCTGTGCAAAATAAACTAGTGTAAATAATACACCTGTACAATTGTTGAATGCATGTGACCGTAGCTCGCACCGAAATTTTGGGCAGCATTTTTCGAGTAAAAGCTGTGCCTGTATACTCGCCAAACGTTGAATTCACCTTAGATCTGAGTATCAATTGTCCATGAAACGGCAACACTGGCCACTTATACTTCAAGAAAAATTTTAAATTGGAGGATGAGAGATGTACTGTACTGAGATCAAGGCGAAATTAGGACAAAACAGGGCGACGACCGTCAGAGGCCAATTGGCTTCGTTTTATTCATGCCCGATTCCTTCGAGCAAGAGGCTTATCCTGACAAGATCCGGAAAATTATGATAGAAAAGAATTCTGAAAATGAGTGGTAAGTATGATGAATATTCAGAACGAATCCTGAAAAACTGCTGTTAGTGTTACGATGAATGGATTACTGTGCTTAATTCAACGTTCAATTGCACTTCCTGTATGCCCCGACGGACACAAGGACGAACCTGTTTTACCTCGAAGGCTTTAATCGAATTTTACGCTTCTTATAAAATGCTTGGCGGGATTCGAAGAACAACGGTAACTTCTGCGTATGGGTTTTCAAAGATGCAAAAGCTCATGTAAACCATTCCTGTAGTCCAGTTCATGAAACAAAGGGATTTTTGTTCAAAAGCTGTCTCACAGAATGAATTGCGTTAATCTTCTGGCGCTGTTTTCTGAATCCTTGAGCTGACCTGGATGACCCTCAGAGGCGTCATGGCGATTCTCATTCGTGATCAAACTGCTTGTTCTGTGAAGGTCTCGTCTTCGAAAGTGATCGTCTAACTGCACTGTGACGCAATGGATCTGTGGGAGGGCATTTATTTCTATGCGTGATAACTGCTGTACAAGGAATACAGGGTAGGATTCAAAGGTATTAAGCCTTATTTTTTTTCTGCTGTGAGAGAACCCTGCCCTGTTATCCACTTCCCACGGTCGCCAGAGTGTTGACTTCAGGGAGCAATTTAGTTCGGTTGCCTTTGAGCTTTCGGGTGGGAAAGATCAGCCTTGAAGTGAAACCCTGTAGGGGAGTTCTTGACAAGGCAGAATGGAATCTTCATTAGAGCAGCGGTATTCCATCAAGTTCTGCTTTCAGTTGGGCAAGTCGCACTCACTTCAAAGGCTTCATAGCAGGTATTAAAGAAGTTTCTGTTTTATTGTAACAATTAAGAACCAATGAAGCAGCAACAGCAAAATTTCTTCAATAACACTGCAATATACTGTAGTACAGTATGTTGTCTTCCTAAGTTCCTACACCATTTTCAACATTGAATTATTTATCTGGAAACATGCACTGTTCATGAAGTCACTCATTGATGGCGTTGAAGGGCGGAGTGGAAGGGGATAGCCCTCTATGCGGGTAACCTGCGAGTGAGTGGGGGCGAGTTGAAAACTGACTACTGTATGTTGTCCTGGAACGGACTAGAATAGATATAGGATCTCGAATCGTGAATGCGTTTACCGCGCGTTTATACCTTCGTTACGTCTATACCTGCGTATGTGTGTGATTTTTCGGTGGGTCACCTCTCGTGTACAAGCGCCAGTATTTTTTCTTTTTCCGCACTCTGGCGAAATTCTGTTCTTGTTTGCAGCTGTTTAATTTCCATGTGTTGTCCTGTCGACAGGTCTTTTCGAGCCATGAGTGAATTGGAAAATGATCTCCAACAACAGCTGGAAGATTTAACGAGGACATCCGACCGGTATGTCACTGCCGCGCTCAGTTGGCTGAACTTCGTAATCGAAGATCCAGAATTTTTGGATGTTCTGCTGACCGAAGATGATGCCGATGAAGTTACCTCTGGAAACCTTAAACTTGAAACGGAAGCGGACCCTGCTGAGGTTCCTCTTATTCACGAAGAAAGCAGTGCTTCGGAGGATGGCTTGACGTCCTTGTCTGAGGAAGAGTCATCTATAGTATCTCGTCATGATGGCGCGAATCCAACGAATGTGATCTTGAATTGTGATGTGGAAATTTTTGACTCGCAGTTGTGCAATGGAATGGATTCGGTTCCTTCCATTTCGTCTGTAACAAATTCTTTTCCCGAGGATGTTTTTGTGTCTAACGCTCCTGTGAGCAATGAATCGGATGAGCTTGATTCGGTTCTTGGCGAAGTCGATGTGGAACAGTCTTCGGATGAATGCTCTGCATCAGTTGAAGATGACACTCTTCATGAAGATATGAGTTTGCCGTCACCTTCCGAAGTTGGAGAATCATCCGACGCGCCTTTCGAAAATAGTGACGTACCGGTTCCGTTTGAAGATCTGACGTGCCATTCGATTCCGATTTTCGAAGGCGCCGGTATCATCCACAATAAAAGCATATTGAAGAGATCAAGCTCCTTCTGGTTGAAGCATAGTTTGAATCGCTGCCACGTTGAATTGGTTGACGTCATGTCTCTTGGGCGTCGATTTTGGTCACGCGGTGAGAGATTCAAGCGGTCCAAAAGCAATCCTTCGAAGTATGAAATTGTTGATGCTCGTGAGGAAGGTCGAGCTATTCTGGATTACGAATTCAAGCATAGGAGAAATTCTCGTCAATCAAGAGTAACGTTCAATCTGAATATTGGAGTGAAATTTATAGAGAAATTTGGCCAAAAGAAGTGTCGTGATTATCATGGTCACCAGATGTCTGATCACAGAACTGGAAAGCCGAGAACGTCTTCTGCATTGGATCGTTTCTCTAAACGCGTGGAGGAAGATAGAGGAAAACGGTGAGATATTTTTGTACAGTACTTCCATATTTCGTGAATGAACATCTGATCTGCAATATTTCCTACTGGCCCAAGTGACCATTAGGGCCGGAAGAGTTTCGTTGTTCAAAAAAAATCATAGCTCGTCTATCTGATTTATTACAAGTTTTCCTAACCTAACTGAGATCACGTGGTTTTGGTATAACCAACCTGAATTGATCCAACATTTCCAATGATTTTAGAGCATTGAGGCAGTGTGGTCAGAATCACTACAGTATTTCGTAACGATGAAATTCTTTCGTTCTCTGTCCGTGTCAAGGGTAGGTCATGTAATGCTTTGATATGCTTGGCCGATTTTAACCCGTCGTTCATAAATCTCATTAAGTGCATTTTTCTTATATCGTTTCAGAACGAGAGCTGCAGCTCGTAATGAGCAATTTTCCGCCGAAAATCCTTTCCGATTGTGCAGTGCTGCTCCGTCGACAGAATCCTTCCCTCGGATAATCGCTCGCCGTCAGCTTCCGAATCCATTTCGAAATCGTCATCGATTTATGAGGCCTAGTCCAAATGAATGTCGAAAACAGCAAGAGCACAGTTTAGAAAGCAGACGTGTTTCTGCGTGCTCCAGCAAGTGGCGCATCAAAAAGGGATTGAGTGAAACCGGGGCTCCTCCTGATGCTGAACCCCTGATGGAAACCCTTTCAATCATTGCAAATGTGATCATGAAAGATGCGGCCCAAGGCTCCGATCAGGGAATGCCGATGAATCGACGTGTGAGTAAAAAAAGCATTGAGGTTTTCTCAAAATGATGGAATTGATTGATCATGACGAGGCAGTCGAGGTCATTTTTTAGTGTTTGAGTGACTCAAGTCATGATGAACTCCGAAATTTGTGAGTAAAATTCAGTTCCATGTGCTGTAGGGTTTTCCTAACGTGGCACTTCGGGATTCATTTTCTTATTTCGCACGAAGGCCACAATTTTACGTATCGACGTGGATTGGCATTTTTGCAGAGAATTTACGACTTAAAAGTACATTACGTAATTCATAAATTCTTTTGAATGCCAGTTGGGCTTGAAACCACGAACAACTTGTGTTGATCGAAACAAGGTGACTTAGACCCTCCGAAAAATATGTTAATTTCTGTTTCTACATCCATGTCTCTTGTTTGTATGTTGCAATCTGGGGTCAATAATTAAGGTTACTCAAGTACAAGAGGGTTCAAAAAATGTTATCTCTCATCACTCGAATAATGAGAGAGTATCTCTCATTATTTGAGTCTGTACTGTGATTAGAGTTCGGATCAATGTGCACAATCAATTTTTAAAAAGACTCGCGTATTATTGTTGAATTTATAAATGTTATCTTTGTTTATATTTATTCATAGGTGCCTCAGACATTCTCTGACGGAATTCACGAAACTTCGAAAGCCGTGAAATCACCTGCCTGATCTGTGTCCCAAAGCAGCTGATATGCTCTTTTTTTTTTTTTAAAACAATTTCTCTCGATTTGCATGCGTTGTTCGTGCGGTATAAGTGATTTGCTCAGAAAGAATTTTTTTTTGTGAAGATACGCTGAAAAAAGGAACATTTTTATAGGTTGCGTCGCGTTTTCTCGTATATGTTTGGAATTCTGTGGAAATGTTTGTTGAACGGACCAAAACATCACTTAGCCTCTTACTTTTTATTCTTTTAGAAAATTTAGCTTTTTTTGATGCTGTACTTGAAAGGAAGCTTTGCAACATCTTGTTTTTCTTTCCTCCTTGTGCAGAACTCAGTGCATATTATCCGTCGCGTTCGGGTTGCTTTAATCAGGCTTTTGCGTCCATGATTTTTGTTGCGTTTAAAAATTTATCAGGTTGTGCGTTGAATTGTATAAACTTCTAAATTTTCGTGCATGTTGAAACCTTGCATTCGAAGTGCTACAATGGCGTGTAAACTCTTGACATCCCGCGGGCTAAGTGCTCTCTGTAATGGGCAAATTACTTTGAGGAAGATCCAGAATCCCTTGGGTCTTGCTCCGGCAAAAATCAGCAAAACGTGAGTAATTTAAACCCCTCTTTTGGGTCCTCTTGAAAATTGTGTGCGCAGAGCTTTCCAGTGCCTTTGTCGATTTATAAAACCTTTTCCCCAGTTACAAATGTAAGGTTAATTTATTATAAATTATTTTAGTTTGTATCTTGTGACTTCAACCACTGTGTTCGATTCCCTATAACACATTTTAGATTCAGAAAATATATCTAGTTGTGTTTCCGATTGCCCAAGCTTTTTTATAGGGTGATACGCCTTATTCTTCATAGGTCAGACGGGTGTTGAGTTGGAAGAAAAATAGCTTGATGCGATGCATGGATATTTCTTGAAAATATATTCCAACAGGTTGAGGCAGCATTAAAAAATCAATGAACGTTCAATACTCGAATCGATAGTATTTATGTGATCGTGGAAACCATGTTATGTGAGAAACAAGCTGCTCATATTTTAACTCAACAGGCAGGAACGTGGTGCCGCTCAATGGCATCCAACGTTGGAATACTGCAAGTCGTTGCACAAGCCATTGTTGCTTCCACCAGAATACGATGAGCAGATCGCTAATTACCCAATGCCTCCTTGGAACAACATTTCCGAAGTACCCGTGTTCAAAAATGTTCGAAACTGTGCAATAAATTTTGGCCCGCAACATCCTGCTGCCCACGGTGTGCTTCGTATGGTGATGGAATTGGATGGCGAGGTTAGTTGATGGTTTGATATTTTCCCTGAAATTTGTTTCTTTGAGTTAAGCGGCGATATCAAAACGAAATATCTTCGGAGCTAGTTACTCTTACAATTCGAGATTAAGTGCAATAATTTTCATCAATTTATTTTGGCATGCATTGTATTGAAACGATGCGTGTTTTAAGCTTTTTGTGTTGCTTTGGTTAGTTCAGTATTACTAAGGATTTAAAATGATTTAAATTCTCGTGGCAGTTTTTCTCGATGAAGAGTCGATTTTTATTTTTACTTCGGTTTATCGTATTCTTGTTTACTATTTCTCAGTCTGTTGTTCGTCTTGACCCCCACATCGGGCTTCTTCACCGAGCAACTGAGAAGTTGATGGAGTACAAAACCTACATGCAAGGACTGCCGTACATGGATCGTTTGGACTATGTTTCAATGATGGTCAATGAGCAGTGTTATTCGCTCGCCATTGAGAAACTTCTCAACATCGACGTTCCGAAGCGAGCCAAGTACATCCGAGGTGAAATATATGAAAATATATATATATATATATATATACACATACAGTATATATAGGTGAAATGTATGTACCGTAATGTAAATTTTTCAACTCGATTTTGTTGATTTCCTTCTCCATTTGAGAAATGAGAGGTAATAGATGCAGAACACTCTTAGTTCCGAGTCCCCTTATTTTTCTCGCACTTCCATAAAAATACGAGCTGTTATTCTTTGCGGTTGCGGACCATTTTTTATTGTGTCTGAATTCTCTTGAAAGTTTTATTGACTAAACTTTTTCGATACTCTAAACATGGATTTTCAGCAACAACGACAAAATCACAAACATTTTTTGGTAATTCTAGCATCATTCCCATTCATTTATGTTTTCATTGCTGTGAATGAGGCATTTGGAAATTCCAGAAAATGAAGGTGACTTTTTTATCAGAATGGTACAATACAGTATTAGCATTTTAAAAATTGTCCCGAACTTCTGAAATTAGTTTCATGTTCCTGTATAATCTACTTCAAGGTATATATCGTAGGACCCTTAGGTTTTGTCTTGGATTGTTGCTGTCAAATCCCGTCAAGATTTAAAATTTTTCATTTTACATAAAACTGGGAAAACTGTTCTGTTATTTTTTTATATTGACCTAGGAATGGAAGTATTGTATGAAGAAAAAGGATGGGTCCAAATTTTAAATTCTGTATTCGCCGAAATTAAGCCGCGCAATTTTATCTGAAAAAGACTGCTGATCTGACAATAATTTCAAGAATTTTCGGAGGGCGAGAAAACTTAATTTTTCTCATTTTGAGATTTTATTTTAAAATTGATGCCTAACTTCCCCCTTTATTTTATTTCATTTGTAGTGATGATGGCGGAGATCACCCGAGTCATGAATCACATCATGGGCTTGACAACACACGCGTTGGACATCGGTGCCTTAACGCCGTTCTTCTGGTTGTTCGAGGAGAGAGAAAAAATGATGGAGATTTACGAACGGGCTTCTGGGGCTCGGATGCACGCGGCTTATGTGAGACCCGGTGGCGTTGCTCAAGATTTACCTCTCGGACTGCTTGACGATATCTACGAAATCTTCAGCAAGTTCAACGAAAGAACAGACGAATTGGAAGACTTACTTACGAATAATCCTATCTGGAAGCAGAGAACCGCGGACATTGGTGTTGTTTCTGCGGAAGATGCCTTGAACTGGGGTTTTAGGTGAGTTAAGCTGTTTTGCTCGAAAATGAGTTTTAGGCGATTGCAGTATTTCTCTGATATTTTCTCAGCCTAAAAATTAGTCCCTGAAATTTTGATGTTGAAAATGAATTTCATCTTCATTCAATCCTCTTTTTTAAATTTTATCTCAACCACCAATACATTCATTGCACACTGATGTTTCAATCCGAATTTTTAAATTTTATGTATATGAAGAGGAATCTTATTATTTTACAGTATCTGAGTAGTAATTTTTCTGTATTTTTGCTTGAATTCGGAAAATAAAGGCAGGTGTTCCCCAGTCTGAGTAAATGTGCTGAACTTGAATTAACTGAACCCCATTCTTACCCGTGATCTGATTAAAAACTTAATGCAATACGAAGTCTGACTCATCGAAGGGTATGAATGGATGAAAAATTCACTTTGTGAATTGAAAACCAATCTTATTTTTAACGTATGAAAACTTTTTTCCTATTTGCAGTGGTGTTATGCTGCGAGGCTCCGGAATCAAGTGGGATTTGAGAAAAACGCAACCTTACGATGATTATCAAGATTTTGACTTTGATATCCCGATCGGCGTGAAGGGAGATTGTTACGACAGGTGAGAAGATTTTTTTTCAGCTAATCTTTGAAAATTTGATGTACATGTGCTTCTTCACGATTCAAGATATCTTTGCCGTGTTGAGGAAATGCGACAGTCGATACGTATTATTGACCAGTGCATCAACAGAATGCCCGAAGGCGAAGTTCGCACAGACGACAATAAGATCACTCCTCCGAAACGATCCGAAATGAAGGTGAGGTTTTTTACGACTTTTGCTCGTAATTCTGTATTCAGTGTTCTGAATGAAAATTCCCTCTACGAGGTGAACTTGTGAAGCGTGCATCTATTTTCGAAAACATATATTACATAAGCTATCGAAGCCGAGGAGCTAAATAAGAGCTTTTGAAAATCCATGTTTTTATAGATATTTACTGACCATGTCAGCGCAAAAAACTGTAACATAGCCTGAAATTGTTTGGGCCGTTGTGTAGATGGGAGATTTTTGCGTAGTCGACTGAAATACTGTATCTTTCTCTTTGGTTCGGTGATGTATTATATGAAAATGTTGTATTTATCCTTCGCAGGAATCAATGGAGTCTTTGATTCATCATTTCAAACTATTTACGGAGGGCTTTCAAGTTCCACCCGGTGCAACGTATACAGCGGTTGAGGCTCCGAAGGGGGAATTCGGTATTTATTTGGTTTCAGACGGGTCATCAAAGCCTTACCGATGCAAAATCAAGGCCCCCGGGTTTGCTCACCTCGCTGCGATTGATCAGATTGGCCGCAACCACATGCTGGCTGACATCGTGGCGATTATTGGTGAGTCAGTTGAGGAGAATGTTTTACCCCGCTTTTTTATAATTTACTTTCTACGCCTTCTGTCTCTCGTATTGGCTTCTTGTTCGATGAGAAGGTACGCAGAATTTTCACAGAGTAAAACTTGATAATTTCATGGCCTGTTTCAACTTAGTGCTCACTGAGGTTGAACTGGAGAGAATGGGAGTTGAAAGTACACCCGATCATCACTTTGAAGAAGTACGGTTTGCATGCCAAACTTGAAGGATGTATTTTTTTGCTCGTGGTCTAAGTGGCAAAAATTACTTTGATTTTTCTAGTGACTTCGTACAAAATCTGATAACAATGCTCCTATGCGACAATTAATGAATCTGCTCTTGGAAATATGTGTTTTTCTGAGTATTCTGGCCCTGAGTGAGATTGTCGTACTGAAGTGTACTTTTTGAAAGATAAATTATTGAATTCATAGCTGAAATTGGAGAAAATCCTCAATTTAAAAATGAATAAATATCGATTTTGAAAAAGAGGCTCATTTCTAGTTTAGTTACTGATCCCGGCCCGTATTACTGTTCAGGTTTTTTAATCGGATACTCGGTTACCCAGATAACTTATTTTGAAGTCACGGACAAAACTTCTGAACCGTCCCGTTTCTTCAGCTTTGCTTTTTTTGTGTTCATTTTCCGAGAAAAATCACGAAGTGGAAACTGCTCATTTCCTTCATTTACTAGACGTATTCGGCTTTCGTTTGCATTTAATTTCCGTTTTTCCTTCATGATTCCGAAGGAATGAAATCACGTGAGCTAATCGTGAACTCTGTCCTTCAGGTACGCTAGATGTTGTATTCGGCGAAGTCGATCGGTAGATCGCCTGAAGTTGGAAATTGCGGTTCCGCGTGTCAAAGCGATCTTTCGGCTGCAGTAAGTGATGACGGCGCTTCGAGTCATTTTGTCGGAATTTTTTTGAGCGTGTCGTATTTGTTTTTCCTTGTCAGATGGAGAATATGGTCCTGAATTCGTGGAACTTTGTCGGTATGCAGCGTTAGATCAGTACTTTTGCAATTCTGTTTGGTTCCCGCGCGCATTGGAGTTGTTAGCGTTTTATGGGGCTCGTGATGATTATTTCCCCCTGTAATCTCTTGTGTCTCTTCGGAAAATAAATTCACTTGACTTGCTGCATCGTTGCATTTTTTTTCCAAACTACGGTATGATGTGTTCAGGGTATTTGTTGTGTGCGCGTGGTTGTCTAAAAAGGGAGCTTGTGATGTAAACGAAGATTTATAGCAACTTATATTTGCGGCCATTAAAAGTGTTCCGGAATTTCCGGTGGGAATTACTGAATATCGCATTGTCTTACGAGGACATTTCAACCTGGGCGACATGTACTATTTTAATATAAAGTTGGGGCATTTACAGCTACAGTGTAGGCAATTTGGTACGACCAGGATTCTGGAGCAGAATTGACATATGGACTAAGATAAACTTATGCATAACAACGCTTCTGACGTAGACCCTGGCTCGTAAATAAATCTTTTCAACAATAAACATGATGCAGTGGAATTCAAATACTGTACCAATTTTTAAATGTCAATTTAATGATGAGTTGCCGGAATGAAGCAATACGGAACGTGCAACTTCCAGCTTTTGTACAGTATTTCACAACGGTTGCACGTATCATGATATAAGCTGTTTATTTTATGCAGCACTGTACTTCACTTTTGCTTCATTTAAAAAGACGTATTACTGGAGGATTATTCCTCCAATCCAAATAATTGAACTTTATCATTTTCTTAAGTTAAATTAAGTCAATGGAATGTTGCTGTTTGCTGATCTGCAAAAGCTTGTCCGCTGGTGATGTGAATGAATAATTAGGCTCCTAGTGAGGATATTATATCAAGTCCTCAGATTAATCAATCACCTAGACTTTTAAAAATTTCTTTGTGTGAAGATGTTGAGAGGTTAGAAGACCCATGTGCCCAATCTGCGGATGGACTCTCGGGCGTGATGTGCCGTAGTCGTTTCCGGCAGTTTACCTGTTATGTTATCATAGTTCCATTTAATTCTGAGATTCAGAATTTAAAATTTTGATTCCTTGAATATGTGTCCAATTCCAAGGAAAACTAGGAGAAATCCGCGAACCGCATTAAAAGTGAAAATGGGCTCAACCAAGGAAAACTTGAACGTACAATTGTCCCACACGTTTGAGAGAACGCGGTTCTCAAGGATAATTTCCTCAAGTCAAGTCTGGAAACGTGACGTGAGAATTGCGTTTTCCTACCAGATAAATTTTCTCGGCGGATGTATTTGCTCGTGTCGCGTTAGTAATTCGCCATTCGGATAGTAATTTGGTGCAGTTCACTCTGAGATTAGTACATTAATGTTATAACTTTTTACAGTTCACGATGAAGACGTTCATTGTTCTGTTCGTCGTTTTTGGTGTGGCGTGGAGTGACTACATAGTTGATGAAAGGAAGAAACAAGATGTTTGTAATGCGGAATGCATGAAAGAACGTCCAGCTGATGACCATGTAAGTGTAGTATGGTAATTCACCCCGAGAAGCTTGAAATAGTTGAACATCTTCTACTTCAGCCGGTCTACTTACAATCCTGCGAGAGAGGATGCCGCTTCTTCAGTCTCGTTCAAGTTTCCCTGGGGGAGAAGAATGCGGAGAAGTCCGCGGACATCACGGGCTGCTCGCGTGGTTCGTTTTCATTCTGGTCTCTTTATTACAGGATTGAATTTCAGATTTTCTGGCTGTTGTTTGGTAGCCTGCACTGATGCGTACAAGAACGACAAAGATGCCGCCGTAATGGATCATTGTGTTACGGGATGCAAGTACGGACTTGCGTTACATTCCGGGAAAGAAGCACAGTTGCAGAAAGAATTGAAATTCATTCAGGTATGTCCGTTTCTTCAGTTAACGTAATATGTTCGTCAAGTGACACGTTCTCTACTGCGTAGCCCTCCTTCAATGACATGTTTTCCGATTTGGAACGCCTGGGACTCTTCGAAAATTCGCCATTCTCACACATGTTCAGAATGATGAAAGCTGCTGCGGAACGCATGAACCAATTGGCGGCACTTTCTATGTCAGTTGTCGTGTCGGAAGAGCAGCGAGCTAACGCTTTCGAGCAACCAAGCGTTGTGATTGTTCGAACTTCTCACAGTGGGGTTCTCCCCAATGGTACGTTCTTAGAGCATTTTCGGATAGTTTGTCATATCTTGAACTAGATATTATTCCGTATTAAACTTGAACGTTGAACTACCATGATCATTACCGCTCACGAGTTGAATTGGATTATGAAGTCTTGAACGGCTAGTCTTCGTTCACAATCCTATAATTAAATAATATTCTAACTAATACTTGAGTCTTTTATTTACAGTATTATTGAATATGGTACAGTACTGTACTTGTATAGCTGGGTTGGATTTTTACGGGTAGAATATTGTGTTCCATTGTGAATGCAATACTGTATTTTCGGAAATCGTACGTTTATCGAATCATTTTCCGAAAGTGGTAGAATACTTTCGCACTTACGTTAGATAAGGTTTGAATTGCAGATCTTCGTAATCCTCGTCGAATGCCCTTTCTTCATTATGTGTAGTATTTACGATCCAGCTGTAAAGATTCGTGAACTTCCATTTTTTCTTCGAAGCAACATTCTAACTTGACCGATGTGAACTAAATAACAGGTATATTTTTCTCACCCCTTCTTCAATCACATAATGGATAATTTTCTCAATGAATATCCAAGTATCGTCGATTACAGTGAAATTCTTTTCCATTGATAATTTTGTTTCTCTTGTAGGAATGGAAGATATCTTCGAAGAACTGCAGGGCTCCAACACTCGCTTCATGGACAATGATCCATTCCCGAGGATCAAGACTGCGACGGCTGTCGTTCAGGAAGTCCCCAAGAGTTCGGACTGGCTAGAATGTGTTTCGAGGAAAGCCGGAATCCCGCGTTGGTTGCTCCTCACGTCCATTTTCTTGTGCTCGCTCATGTTCGTGTGGCTCTGTTTTGCTGCCACTGGACCAAGCCATGAACATCATCGCGTGTGCGCCGTTTCTCAGTCGCCACCTGCTTATTCGTGCAAACAGGTTAGTGCATTCCCTTTTTTTTCAGGTAGAGCTGGTTTGCCTGTCTCTACCGCATTGACATTTTTAATTGCACTGTGGAGGAGAGGGAAATTTCTGAATTTTCAAGTTGTGCGTTTATGCCTCTGTTGCCACCCTTTCTAATTGAAGGGATTACTGCTTATTAACCAAGTTTTGTACAGTATACCTGTATAGTAAAGAATTAATAAGTTCAAGGCGTCCAAAAAGTCCATGTCGGATGGATAATCTGTTCCGGATCTCATGGAAATTTCCCTTATTAATTCCTGATATCACTGTAATGTTCAATTTCTTCGTTTCCAAAGGAGAATTAACTGCGGAAACTCGCGGAAACAAGGAATTTTCAAAATTTTTCGAATACTGTTTTTCCACTTCAAGAATGGCAGCCGGATTCCCACGATAATTTAGATTGTTGCGACGATCACTTTTCATGCAGATTATCATCCAAATAATGTATCCATATATCATCCATGAAAGGGTCCATCATAGGGAGTACAAAAAAGCGATAGCCTCTACATTTTCACAGGGTTTCGATATTATTCATGCTGATTACCTCATCACCCAGGATATAAATAACGTAAAATGTTTCGTTATGTAGAGCTGAAAACCAAAAAATTAATTTATTGCCGAGATCAAAGCGATTAGTTGCATATAGAAAGCTGTAGAAGAAACATCTGAGTCTTATTTTATGGTCGAAAACTAACTATAAAGAATGTCTGCTCTGGCGAAGGATCTGAGATTTTTCTGAAGTTCTGTAACTTGCCCGAATTTATGAATTAATGCACCCCTCCTTGTACTAGGTTTTGGAATTAAATCTACAGGTTTAAAGAACTACGTTGTCCTATTGTCTCATTCTAGATGGACTGGCAAAACAGACTTTGATCATCTTCGTTCAAGACGTGCTCAGATGTTTTCTATTAATCTTTTTCTAATCTTGCGTTTTTTTCCTTTCTCCAGCCATGGAGTGACATTCCCTACGTTTGCCCTACTTATGAGAAAACCATGCTGGCTTTGACGACTGAGAAGAGCGATGACAAGCCTCTTTTGATTGAAGAGGAGGAAGCCGAAGCGTTGCCTGCGAAAATTCACCTCGAGAAAGTTTGAACAGATTTTGAAAAGAAAAGATTTGAATTCAACACAAAGGAAGAAGGGGGTTGATGAAATATTCGAATATCGTGGGTGCAGATGGTCATCGTCAATTCAAAAGCACACAATTTTTAGGGGCATCCTTCCTTGTGCTGAGCGGTGATTTCCTTATTGCAGTGGTAAATTCTTCGCACGGAAGGTCTGTTACGTTTTCTTGCACTTGATTTAGAGAGCTTATCGGTTGACGGTGGACGAGCTAGACGTCTTGCATATTATGTTGAGTTTTGATTCATTCCACGCTTTGTGTGATTATGTCGTTCGGAAACGAATTTTCGGCGTCTTCGTGATTTATCCATCATTACTTGATGTCGCACGGATTCGGGTCTAGCTTTAAGTTTTAGTTCGGCATTCAAATTGTGCGGTGTATTCTTCGACTCTTTTCGGAAAGCTGCGGAGATGAGTGTGAAAACGTAGCTAGTAATTTGTTGGATGTGGAAATTTCTGAGAACCTACAGCCGAGAAAATCGAAGTTGAGCCGCTTGTCCGTCATTTTTTGACATAATTGTACTGTACTCGATCTTTGCTTGCTTATTCCTGAGCAACTGCGCTTTGTTCGTATTCCATTGTTACGGCATCATCTTTCCTAAACTCCAAGTTTTCGGAACAAAGTGATCTTGCATTAAGAGAATTTGATGTCAAAATACTGAATTTTTTTACCTCGCAGTTTGATAGGCTGTAGTCATTTTCAGTGTGATCCACGATTCCCATGCAAAAGGATATGATTTGGGAATTCTGCATCCATTTGTTTCCCTTAGGATGGTGTGAAAAAAATTTGTCCGGGATCTGCTCTACGACGAATAAATGCGTGTAGCAATCTGGTGACTTCCTGTTCATTCTTATTGCCGGCTACTGCATTTATGGTACATTTCATAACAATACAGTACGATATGTAAACCTGATCTGTGAGAACCCATCATGTGGAAGAAGCTTATGGAATGTCTCTGTGACGATTATTAAAGTACACGTGTTTTGCTCTTTGATAGGTGTTGGCAGATATGGCGGCTCTGCATGAACACATGCTTTCGCTAACAGGTGCATTTAATTCGCTGTCGATTAACGAACGTGGACGTGATCATTTTTTAGGATTCCACATGTGCTCCGTCGGCGAGAGTTTGAGAAAGGATAGGAGAGATTTTATTCTTATGAGTTAGAGTGAATAGAATGTGTTGCGTTTATCATCATTTCCAAAGGTGTTCAATATTCCAATTTCACCGTTAGCTCCGCTGCGCTTCCCTTGTAGTTGTCCCTTCGAAAATTCAAAATGGGAATGAAAAATCGCCGGGGAAACCAGAAGAGCCCTCCCGTATTCAGTCATGAATTTGTGATACAAAACCATGCCGACATTGTGTCCTGCTTCGCGATGGTCTTCGTCGTTGGTCTCATGTTCCAGGTTTGTACGGATTGACGACGACGAGGTTCAGTTCAATTCATGCTGATCATCACATTTTCTTCCAGGCAACTACTCCGTTTTCTTCCTTGTTCGTCGCCCTTGGACACCCGACGCCCCCGGAAATAGGCAGTTTTTACACTTACGGACTGAAAGATATCTCATGCATTTTCTTTTACCTGCTCATCTGCATAATCGTCCAGGCTGTTGTTCAAGAGTATCTCATCGATGTGAGAATTTCTTTTATTTCACGGCGTAGAGAAATTACTTACTTTTAAATTTCCTCCAGCGCATGAATCGCAAACTCCATCTGTCTAAAGTGAACCACAGGAAATTCAATGAATCCGGACAGCTGCTTGTGTTTTATCTCGTCTCAGTGTTTTGGGGAGCAAACATTGCGCACAAGTGAGATACAAGGTCTATTCATTATATTCACGTATTTACTGATTATCCTCTTGGTGTGCAGAGAGGGCTTGCTCTCGGATCTTACGGGTTTGTGGAGCAACTACCCGGATGCCCACGCCCGAATGTCATTTCAGCAGAAGTTCTTCTTCATCATCCAGATAGCGTATTGGTTGCATCAGTTCCCAGAGCTGTATTTCCAGAAGATCAAAAAAGATGAAGTTATGCAGCGGGTGCAGATGGCTTTCCAGTATTTGGTCGCGATTGTTGTAGCCTACCTGTTCAAGTAAGCATAGGGTGTGATCGGATTTTTATTCAGTTTTGGATTAAATTTCTTTTGTATTTCTGCCAGTTTCACAAAGTTGGCTCTCTGTTTCTTGGTGATCCACTACGCGTCTGAGAGCGTTTTCCACGTGGCAAGGATTCTCCATTTGGCTGGCAAACAAGTCGCTGCGCGCAAAGGTGAAGTTTTACTTCATAAGTAGGCATATTAAGTTGTTGATTTTCCATCTTCAGTCCCGTTGGTTTGCATCGTTTTCTTGATTTTTCGTTGCTAATTACAAATTTTCCAAAGAGGCTTCTTTTGCTGACGCACTACTTTCGATGCTTGAAAGTTTGGCGAGGTGAAGTGGACGTCCTTTAATTTTGAATAGTACTGTACTGTATAATTCCGCCTGATTGATTTAAAGGTCCAACCAAAAATGTAGGATTTATATTACAGTAAATTGAATGTGTATTGCGGCAGTTTAATTTTCTGCAATAGAATTGAAAGCGATGCTCTTCATTCCTTTATCCTTATTTGAAAACATAAAAATGTCCAAGTATTAAAAGCATGCTCCATGATTGATTTTGAAGAAGTAAAAATTCCCGAGTTGTAGGAACAGTACTGCTTCCCTGGATTGCGGATACTCGGATTCTAATGATGAGCCTGGGTTTCTACAGCTTTCATGGTGAGGAATGTGGTGTATGTTCCGGTTCGTATCCTGGCTATCGTAGCGTCCGTCTCGGTGTTCATCTTCAAACTCGCGAAGGAGAAGCAAGGCTTTGACTTCGCCACGGGCAATTTCAACACACAATTGATCCGCCTGAATTGCGCCATCAGCATGTTCTTTTCTCAGTCGTGGCTGCTCTGGAACTACGTATCTTTCCACTTGCGTAAGAGGAGTGAAAGAGTTGCCCAAACGACCGTTCACGTGCCGAAAAAGAAAGCTCATCGCCCGAAGCCGGAGCCCAAGCAAACTAATGAAGAGGACGTAAATGAACTGCCCGAGGTTGACCAGAATACAAGCAAGGACCTGAGACAGAGGAAAGTTCCCGCGAAGTAAGGTGCTTTTTGGCGTTGATCGACATTTTGACTTATTTTCGTCGACGTGTGACTATTCGCTTTCTTTTTATATTTCATTTTATTTTCTGGCTGAGCGTCGTTTTTGTTGTATTTATGTATCTATTTTTTACGCTCTCGCCTGTTTTAAATTTCGCCGTACTCCACTGGAAGTTGGTTCGTTCATTGAGTTGATGGCCGCATCAAGCCCTTCCTCGCTGTGAACTTAATCTCAAAAACACGTAAGGTTTTATTCATATATTACGAAAGAGCTTAAAAAGAAAAAGAAAATATACCTGCCTTCTGTCGCGTTCCTGGAATTTTGAGTCGTGTTGGTCCGTTAGTTGCGGAAATGTGTTACGAAGCGACTCGCTTCCTGTATCAAGGTTTACCAAATGGAAGTTCTGAAAATATTGTCGAAATACGGTATATTGAAGATTTATTTAAGCGTCTTTTTAAAATTCTAACCTGACTACGAGTCGTTCCTGGTTGTGCATCTTTTCCTTGGCTCCAGTTTTGGAGCGATTTTATTTTATTTTTTGGTGCGAATTCAATTTCGTGGTTTGAAACTTGGAATTGAGTGACCTGGTCCAGGCACAATCATATGATCTTACTGGCTCATTCCCTTCGAAGGCTTTGCGAAAAATTTTCCCTGCTACCCGGTTGAGATTTTTATTTTGATTGTGAAAAAGGTGAAGGGACTGGGACATTTTTTAAAAAGTATCTGCTTTGAGCATTTTCATCTTGGAACCCTATGCGTTTGTGTCCATTGCTTTAGATGTGTATGTCGGTTTACTTTTGTGTTCCTGTTCTTCGGTTGTTACGAGAGACTATATTTTTGTGGCATCGCCACGCGCGGGAGTGGAAGGATGATTTATTCGTGATTATTTGATTTGCATCCGCCATCATGTGGTGGAACTTCAGATTATCACTGACGGAATAAAAGACTAGGTCTGCCGAGAAGCTTGAGGGAAATTTTCATTCCCACTTCATTTTCTGGGTCCAAGGATTGTGTTCTCTTTGGTTTCTTCAGGTTGTTGCCTATATGAGAAAGTGAACTTTCCAGTTGAGACATGATGAATGTTCAGCCATGTCTTGAAAGTCCATGAGTCTCTCCATGGCAATCAATTGAAAGTCCAGTTTGACCCTGCCAAGCCAATGCTCTAATATTCAAATAAATATCCAGTTTTTCCCTGCGAAATATCCCCAACTTGAATACAATTTAAATCTTGTTCTGAGTGTTTGGGTTAAAGCTGCCCTACTTGAAATTGTTATCTTTTTGTTACTAATTTTGGGGTAACATCTATGAGCAATTCCTCCAGGAACCTAAAAAATTTGCAATACAGTATTCTTTCTTCCATCCTCTCCACATTGGATCACTCATCTTGATTCTGACAGGTAGGATGTCTTCTGGATTATGAGCCATTTTAATACATGTAATTTGAACAGAAAAATGTGATATATGTTTTACACCTAATAAAATGATGATACTCAACTCGAAAATTCTTCGTCGAACAATTTGGCGTATTTTAACAACCAATTGAAAGGTTGTCAGAATTTTGGAATTAATTCACATTTATTTACTCATCTCTAATGAGTCATCCAACTGAAAATTTGTCCAGAAATTCTTTGTTTTTCAGTGTCTTATTTTCTCCTCGCGAACTTTCTGAAAAGCTGCATGTTAACCGTAACAAGTAAAAACAACAATTGTATATTTCAGTCCTGCTTGCAATCCAGATTAGTGGATTTATTAGTGCTACATTAGAGTGCGGATTTCTGCAATCAGACCATGTAAGGTGACTCCGCCTTGGATTTCAGTTCGGTGAGTGTTAATGTGTTCCCTGCACATTTTTTGTGAACATAGAACTTCGGTCCCGGGTTTCTACCTGTGCTTACAGATGGCCGAAGAAGAAAGAGCGGACGATCAGCTGAAATCGGTGCAAATTCGCACATTTTGCAACCACCCGATAATGCTGTGCCTGCTCAATTCTCTCTCGTCTTTCGTTACTGCCCTTCCCATTCTCACCTGGAGTATCCGTGTTCTCAGTCGGTGCGCGTGTTATTAATTGATCAAAGTGCTTATAAATGCCGTGTTCTTCCGTGAAATGGGTTGAAGTGTTTGAATTGAGATGCTCGGGCCCATGATGTACTCTCAGGTGAGTGAACGGAGGGCGATTTTTCGCATTAGCCATGTATCTTCATTGAGTTCCTTGTTTTCAATAACCGTCTTGCTAAACGTTGATGTACAGTATTTTTTTCGCAGAATAGTTATCTCTAGATCATGCGATCCTACGTAGATATGGGCCAGAACATTCGGGAAGCTCTGATTCGATAGACAGCTGAAAAAGGCTGAAAACAACACGAATGAGCGCTTCCGTTTTGTCTGTAATCTGTGCTTGTTGTTTTTCAATCGTGTTGAGAAGGAAAAGAAATAAATGCTTCATCCGTTTTAGTTTGCCGTATGGCCAGCGAAATGCCTCCATATCTCCACTTACACATGTTGCCTCTTATCTCTGGGGGAACGTGTCGCTCTGAATGGTTGTCGACGTTAGCGATAGTCTTGGCCTGTTTACCCTTGTAGGCTTTTTTCGTCCGTTGAGGGGTAGAACTTGGGCTTGATTAAATTTTAAGGGGGGATGTTGATTTATTAACCATTGTACAGTGTTTGAAAACTTGTTGGATCAAACTTTCAAACCTTGTGCGGCACTACATTGGATTGCGTTTTATCTATTGATTTATCTTCGACTTCGTTCGCTGCGTGACAGTGTAAGCTTTCAATGCCGAGTCTTATTAGTAATTGAGCCGTAGGTACTAGGGTTTGAATAATGTTACCTATCTCAGATGTATCCCAAGTATAGTATCGGAATGGAAAACAAATGTGAAGTGTTCAGTCGGCACCGTGCTGTTAATCTCTTGAATGTGAGGAAGTTTCGTTACTCTGCAGTTTTTTCTTTTCTGAAATGGCTACCCGAAATCAGGGTGCGGTTTACAGTCACGCAGAAATGATACCATAATTAAGTTCAACGTAATGTGAAGTTCAAGCAGTATGTAATGATCATTGTCTTAATCGCACACTTGGTTTAACCTAGTCTCAAAATTTATAATAAGTCGCCACGTTCGTGAATCTGGTTCAATCACGATCTTCACGTGCCACGGGGCTGTTCCTCCATGAACGCGAAGGTGATTATCCTCGCTAGGATTTTCACCGGAGCGTTTCGGAAGGTGACTTCTGCCCATGAAGTGTGGTGGTGTGCTTGCATTCTGTCACGGCCGGTGGAAGTTTCAGGACGCTGGATGTAGGACAAAGTTAAGGAACGTTGAATTCACCTGACAGGGAAAATTTCACTCATTATTTAGGGCAAAGGCGTTGCGGTTGATTCAGTTTACTTGCTGATGTTTCGAACTGGTGTAACTTCCCAGCTTGCTTTCAGTATGTTGCCGATAGTTGTGTGTACTTCATGGTACCGTACGTATCTTGATGCGTGTTGATAAGATGGTTGTTCCATGGCCGCGTAAATTTTGCACGTTCCGGAAAAGCTTCTTTTTGGAATTATAGGACCTCAAGTTGCATTTGTCGGAGTTTTGTTTTTCTCAAGGTTTCTTCTTGTCACCCTGCGAGCATTTCTGGTAAATTTTTGATTTTGTCATGAGTTGAATGCCTCTTGTAACCAACTTAATTCATTTTTCCATAGTTGCCGAGTTTTGGTCAGTATTTTCCAATTCAAAGTCGCATCAATCCCGAAAATGTAAAAATTTTCCAAGCTGTCATTTAAAGATCAGTTTTCACTTCAATTACAAAAATTTGTTTTGTTGGTTGCTGTTGACCTATACCGTTTGTACTATCCTAGAATAATCTTGCAAATTCTTGCACAAGTCACAATAATCTTGCGACTTGCAAATTCCCAGTTGCAGTTGTAGAGTAAGGAAAGTTGAATATTGGGCTTGATTGAGAGTTTTTTTTCGTGATTTGGAATCTTTTCTTGCCTCTGAATGCGCTCAGGAAATATTCTTCAAACTTTGTAAGCTGAGTTGTTTTTATTAAGGTACTCAAACTTAAAAATGTCCATCACAAGTTCGGGTTGGGAAAAATGCAGCTTCAGGAAGCCTCTGAATTGGAGGGATTGGGTGTAATTGCCAATAGTCCGCGGAGAATTGGCAAAAAATTGTCTGTATTTCAAGGAATACCTCCGGAAATTTGTCATTTTTGTAACGTGAGAATATTTATTTTTAAGGCTTCGTTTTGTACATGGTACAAAATAATAAGGTAATTTCATCAACCGGAAAATTCATGTATTGTACTGCGGAAAGATCTCCAATGGTTAAAACAATATTAGTGACTGTTGAATGCTTGAAAAACAGGTTTTTCAATGCCCTTCAACAAATGGTTAATTTTTTTTTAATTCATCACATGCGTGTGAAACGTTTCCAGCCGTTGATTAGTGTTGAATTGAAAGAATTGAACTCGTGTTTTTTTTTTGTTAATAAATACGGTGTTCACAAGTCCGATCGAGGTCAGGGGAATGTTCCATAAAATCATATGAAACCTGTTTTCATGTAAAAGTTGGCTCGCATAGAATTTTATTTTCACATTTTCGTTTTTACGACGAATTCGTTTTCAAATCTTCTAATCTCCCATCGAAGTCAGCTTGAGGCTCTTTTTTCCTAGATTCTTATTATTCGGGGCTGCTGTCCATGCTTCCTTGCTTCCGTCTGTGACACGAGATACTCTCCTGCTTTGTCAAACGTGTCCAGCTTGTTCTCATTTTACTCTCCAGCCCGCGTCTTATCAGGAGACTGCAGACTCTTCCTGAGGTAGTATATAACTCGTGTCACTCTGGGTGCACTTCGCGACAGTGTCGATTCTGGTCCTGAAAAGCCTGGTGAACGAAATATTCGAGTCCGTTGAATTCGACAGTTGTCTCTTGCGTGAATGTGTTCCGTGAAATTCTGTGGATGAGCTTAAGTGCTTGTTTCTTGATCAACGCGAGTTAAATAAGGTTGCCATGTTCTTCATTTCTTCCTGTTTCCGAATTTGAGCGATAGCTTTGTTGTTTGCACGTGTTATGCTTAATTTTGAACGTCTTGTTTGATTTCGGTTGAGTATGAGTTTTTTTCGGCTGTTTTCAACGAGGAATAATGTTTACATGTAGAGTGAGAATTTGCAAGCGAATATGGGAGCAAGTGTATTTTTCTTCGTGGGATAATCTCTTCGAACTGAACGCTCGGAAATTTTTTTGCCTCTCTTCTGAAGCCTTATTATAAGTGATCCGATTTGTAATGTCGCGATTTTTTTTAAAAGCGCGGTAGTTACTTTTCAGAGAAATCGACATGCATGATCGACATGATCGTTAAAGTAGTAGCTCGTTTGAATTGAACTTTTATGTGCGAAACGAGTATTTCTGGCTAATTTTGAAACGCTTGTGGGTGTACTTGTTGCACTGTAGTTCTTCGGTATGACCTCGCGATTTTATTCACGGGTTATTTTGATTTTCTGTTGATCTTGATTTTGAATGATTTCAGTGGCTACCTAGTGCTTGTATGTCTTGTGAATGGTTTCAGTTTTCCCTTCTGAGGTTCAGTCCTTCAAGGAGCAAATTTGGTGTATGCAACTCCTAGCTGCCCTTTGAAGGGCTGATTCCGAAGGGATGCTCGTCATTGCATGCTGGGGAACCAGATGATAGCCAGCTGTTTGCGGACTCCTTTATTTTTTCATTCGAGTATTCGTTCTCCGCGTTTTTTTTTTTAGTTATTATGATTGACTGATGGTTCTGATATCTTCTCGCGATTTACATGGATTGCATTGATCTCTGCAGATGTGACATTTTATGTATGTGTTGTTGAAATAAAACTTATTCCAAATATCGAGTGGTTTTCTTTATTCCACGTGTAGTTGAAATTGGATTTATTAAGCAGCAGATGATGGATGATTCAGTGAAATTTTGACCATATAGTCTCTTGAAATATGGCGCAGGGACACGACATTTTTATTCATGGTATGTAAACGGAGTGGCCTGAATTTGTTACATGATTAAATTGACCAACTTGATACATTTTCCTCTGATCACGAAATTATCTACGTGTATTCCTTCAAAATGGTGCTTCTGAAAGAAAAGATATACTGTATTAATTATATTCACAATATGATTACTGGGACAAAGCCTGAGTGCTATACTCAATTGAAAGTTGCTTCTAAGATCATAAGTTGTCTTCATAACAGATAAGCTGAATAAGATGCCCAGTATATATAGACCACTCATGCTATTCTTTCTGAATGTTCGATATTGCAATCAAAAATTTGGAAATTTTAAGCCGCCTTCAAGTGTTGAAAAATGGAGCCCTGCAGTTGGAGGATTTAAGATTACAGTGCAATTTTGTAATCTAGAATTAGTATCATGGTCAGCATGTTGCTTTGGTGTTGCAGAAATCGATTTTCGTGCTACATATCTGAAATAATGTCGTAAAAAATTTTCAAAGTACATTGTATTATAGTCTTGAAAATTCAAAGATATTTCAGGACGTAATCGTGTCCTACTCTGTAAAAAAATCATATTGCTCTGATGACGAGACTGCGGGGTTGAGAATGGATGCCTTCTCTCAGATATGCTTGATTTCATACTCCACATGAAATACCATTCTCCGGGGGAGATCCTAAGTATAGATAGCGCAGTGAAGCAAGTCGAAGTGAAAATAACGTAACTCCTCGACCACAATATGAATCCTCTTCGTTGACGGAATGCTTTTTAAATCCCAAATTAGCAGAAGTGCTGGATAACTGGTTTACAAGATCAAATGTTTCTAATGTGTTCAGAAAAACCAGAGAAAGATCAGGATGGAGTGAGAAAGGAAGATTATTATAGTGTATACATGAAGATATGTCATATCTTCAGTAATAAAATAAAAGCACCCGCAAATTGGTTACCACTACAGTAAATATGTAACTCAAAATACAGCTGCTAACAATACAATTTCGAAGAGATGTGGAAACTGATGCTGAAAATCAATCGTAATATGTTTTTAGTGTACATTACTATATTGTATACAGCAATACTGTCACGACGCTGGTATTGTTATCTGCTGTTCAATTTTGAAAGTATCCCCCAGACAACCACGGTGGTGTATTTCACTGCTCCAGTCACAGATGGCTTCAAATAAAACTGGCCTTGTACAGTAGTACAGTACAGTATTATTTGTGGATCATGCTTTACCCTCCCTTGCAGAGGAATTTAAAATTAGATTACAGCTTGTTAAACTTAGTTCTGTGTGTGCGGGATCATGAGCTGGATGCGATGTATCCAGTGGAATAGTTGCGGCTAAAGAAAGCTGTGTGGAGTGAAATTTGGACACACTCAATCTGTTTTCTCAACTGTGTGTACAGTACAGATTGTGTTTGGTGACAGAATTGAGTGTGTCTTGTTTTTTTTTTTTTTTTAAGTGGATGGAACGTCGTAAAGGATGATCGAGGGTATCTGTCATGTGGACTTCACGCGCGGCATTCATAGCTTGTCGCGATTTGACGTTGCTGTACTTCTCGCGTAGAATGCAAGAAAAACTGCCTCAATCGTTCAAGGCAGTGTGCTTCAACGGGTCATTCGCAAGTGTTATTGTTCCAGATTCCTCCGTTGAGTCTGTTCTTATGTCATGTTCCTGCTCTTTCCAGGATTCCATCATGTTCTCCCGCGTGATGGAGACTTCCGTAACTGTGTTCTTGTTTTTCATGGTGACGTTGGGTCAAGAGTCTGATTCTTTTTCAAGTTCTTCGTCGGATCGAGTTCCAGTGAGTTTCTACTCACATCAAATACTATAACGACTTCTTGATAGGAAACGTTCCTTCTTTTCAGACCGCGGTGAGAGCTCCGAAGAGACTTGGAAGCGCTGCCTACGAATCACTGGCGAAAATGAATGATCTTCAAGTATTCACTGCACTGCTCGCACCATTGATGGTGCGAAGAGTTCCTTCAACCCCTCGTCATACCCAGGTCAAAGAAGTATGTCGAAGAGAATTATTCATTTTGGAAGAAAAGAGGGTTTAGACTGGATTTACTGTCTAGTTCATCATCAACAAGCTTGAAAGTTCGGGTTTCACCGTTTCGACGCAAGACTTCACTGCTCGAGTTCCCGTCATGGACAACTTCATTCGTGGACAGGAAATGCCGTTTAGCAATGTTATTGCGACTTTCCACCCGTCAGCACCTAAAAAGCTGGTTTTTGCCTGTCATTATGATTCCAAGTACTTCAACGAAAGAAGCAATTTCATCGGTGCAATCGATTCAGCGGTTCCGTGCGCTATGCTGCTTGACATGGCTCGCACATTGTCGAAGTCCCTATCGTCGCAGAGAAATGTAAGTAAAACTGTCATCCCAGGAGAAAAGCTTTGATTTGTTTTAATGGATCAATTTTGTGTCATTTTTGATTAAGTTAAGCTTTTTTTTAAAGTACTGTATGTACTTTATACCTTGGGAATTTTGAGCAGCAAACCTTTTTCACATCAATCATATTTGAGAAGTCCCAAGTACCGAACTGTGCAATACGTGTAAACAAGACGTTTCAAAAGAGTCCAATGATTCGATGAAGGAGAACAATTTGTGATTGTTTTGGGTGCTTTTCTCCTGCTATAATTTCCTGCGAGATCGTCTAGGTTTCATCCCGTTCTTGAAAATTTCAGCCGGAAGTAACGTTGCAGCTGATTTTCTTCGATGGAGAGGAAGCTTTCAAGGACTGGTCCCCGACGGACTCTTTGTATGGTTCTCGGGCATTAGCAGAGCATTGGGATCGTACGGGAGAACTTCGTTCAATCGAATTGTTTGTGTTACTTGATTTACTGGGAGGGGAAATCGGAGAATGCCAGTCAGGATTTTTCCGACAATGTCCCGAACTTGCGTCGTATATGAGAGTGTCTCAACCCGTTTATGATCGCATAGTTGCCATTGAGGAATCATTGGGTCGTCGAAATTTGCTTCAAAATCATCAAGGTCTGAAAAGATACTTCCAAAAGTCCCAGAAGTATCACGTTCAAATAGAAGATGATCACTTGCCGTTCATGCGAAGAGGAGTTCCGATTTTGCACGTCATCACTGCGCCTTTTCCGCCGGTTTGGCACGAAGATTCTGACAATGCTGATTCTTTGCACTGGCCGACTATTCAGAACCTGAATACTATATTCAGGGTGATGGCAGCAGAATATCTAGAACTGAACATATAGGGAAGCGCGAGGCGGTCACCGGTCTTGTCTGGAAGTCGTCACACTGAGCTATAATGCATTTCGTTGGATTCTGAAATACCGTAACCTGGTGCTTCTCGATGCTTTGAAAATTTGCTTACAGTATAAGTGTTGAAACACGCTCAATTTACGACGCATTCCGTTTGACAGTTGATCTGCCTCGCCTTGGAGGACGCGCAAATTTTGAGATATGATTTTCTGCTGAGCTTGTCCGAGATGTTTGCTGTGAAACGTGTGGACATTTTCTGTGTTGATAATGCTTTTGTTTTGTCATAGATACCCATTTGAAGATTCCTGTGTGCTCAGCTCTGAGGCTGTCCGTAGTGTTTCGAACTTGTTGATGCACAAACGCGTTGTATGTAGCCGTTTTGTATGATCAACTTGCAGTGCATTTCGGGTAAAGTCTTGTCAGGTTCTTGGCAAGTGTGATGAAAATCAGTGGAACGGGGTTGTTTTTGTGATTTGTCGAACATGTTTGCTGTGTTTAAAATTTACGTCTGATTTCGTTGTGGTTTGATCCTTGATGCCCGCATAAAATCGATTTCAGTTCTCCCGATTTAATGGCAGTGTGTTCAGTTCAAGAAGTTGAAATCATTCCAGTAACTTTAACGAAGGATCACCATAAGGATTGCAATAAAGTAAACCTGCATGCGAGCTGATGATGGACGAACCCCGGGACGAAACTCCGTATTTTTGTCAGCCGCTCATTCAATGACTTTCCATCGGAATTTTTGCTTGCAGAAAGTGGATCATCGGTGTACTCCGCATTCCTTCTGTTCTTGGCGTTTGTCATTCCTGAATGCAGAATGGCGTAGCGCAATGTTCTCGGTTTTGACAGTTTTAAGAGTAATTACTCGCTGAGCTGGTGTCGGCGGCGAAAACATTATGGCCGACGTTTTGAAGTCAGCTTGGGGATATTTCTCCACTAATTCGCCGCCCGATTCGAGGCCCGTCACGAATGAGATGGTGGGCAAAATCCTACGCGTCAACAGCAGACAAGTGAAAGTGAAACGTCTTCTAGCTGAAGGTTCGTCTTTTTAAATTACGTGGGGGCTTGATTTTTCCGCGCCTGTGTTCGTTTGAAATTACGTTGCTGTGGACCCAAGTCTCGGTGGTCAGGATTCTGCAAACCAGAAGAAACCCCAAATCAATTGATTTTCTTCAATCGCAAATTCTTGCTCCCGAAGTAACATTTCAGAACTACCTCGACATTCAGCACTCCTACCTACCAGTTTACATTTTACGTACCTCAGATTGTCGTATTGATTCGATTCTTCATTTTCAACGAATTTGCTGCAAGATATTTTTTTCTTTTAATTTCAAGATGGAATGATCAGTGATTTCGGTAATCCGTATTTAAAATAGAATTTCGCACTCTTTAATTTCTGGTTGGATCGAACTAAAATCTTGCTTCATTTTCCTATTCCGTATTACTTTTATTTTAATTAATTTTGAAAAGAGGTTTTCCCCCTTTTAGCTTACGTATTTTGAAGTATAATTTCAAATTTTTTCTGGTTGCTTTATTTGAGACGTACCGAAAAAATAAGAGAGTTCTCTTTTTGTGTGCAAATCGTATTTAAAGCCTCTTAATGTCGATTTGTTTAGGGGGATTCGGCTTCGTTTTTGCTGTGGACGATGGACAATCTGGCAAAGAATTGGCTCTCAAAGTAAGAAAGACATCTGCGTTTCTAGATAAGCCTAATAACCGTATCTTCTTCGTCAATTTCTCTAGCGACTCATCGCCTGCGATCATGAGAAGAAAGCTGCAGCCTTGGCGGAAATCAGTGTCCTCGTAAGTCTTGATTACTGTATCCTGTTCCATGGTTATGAAATTGTGGCTGTTTCAATGGTTTTAGAGAAAACTTCAAGGACACGAAAACATTATGGCTTTACTGGATGTTGGACAGAACGATTCTCCTCAGCGGATAGAATTCCTTATCCTCACGGAACTTTGTCCCTTCGGTCTTCTTGATATACTACGGTCACCTACTGTTCTGAAAGTTGACGAAATCACTAGGATATTTTATCAGATTTGCAAAGCTGTCAAGCACATGCATTCTCAGTCGCCACCGATTATTCATCGCGATTTGAAGGTGGGTAATGACTACTTCTCTCTGACCTTATGCGCGGGCGATGATCCTAGGGGATTTTTGCATAAGGTATTTCTTTCCGCAGGTGGAAAACATACTTTTTTCAGAAGATGGTTGGGTTCGACTCTGTGATTTTGGTAGCGCCACTACAAAAACTTACTTGCCAGACTCGTCTTGGTCAGCAAGCGATCGCACGAGAGCAGAAGAGGAGGTACGTGATTCTTTTCAAATTATTTCGTGGATATTCATCCTAGTTTTTACGATCAGTTCCTAAAAAAACTTTTGGAAATATTGTACGTAAATAAAGAATTTATGTTATTACCACAAAATGAACTACTTAACCATATGCGGTACACTCAAATGTAAGATGCAATTCGTTCTAAGATGCTCTTCAATTTTTCTCGTCTTGAAGAAAGAACCTGAGAAAGTACTCAATGACCTGGCTCTGAACTCAAGGAATTCCAAAAATTATTCTTTAAATTCGATCTTACTAAATACACTAAATATGCAATGGATGATGGGAGTTCTGGGCCTAGCTCTAAGCGTATTCGAGTCTTTTTTTTCTGCGCTGTACGTTGACTAGGAAATATTGTATGTTCCAATTTAATCATTATAGAAATACAGTACTGTGATGAAATAGTGTTCATTCGAACCATTGTAGAATTTGCAATTTTTTGAGTATTATTTTTAAATTATGTCTTGAAATGTTTTCTCTGGTTTTATTCTGAGGCGTTTGTTACTTTTTAGATTGCTGAACAAACGACACCGATGTACCGCGCACCTGAAATGCTAGACCTGTGGAACAATTACCCGGTGAACCAGGCCTCTGACGTATGGGCTCTGGGCTGTGTCTTGTATACAATGTGCTTTAAGACACATCCTTTCGAAGATTCGGCTAAACTTCGGATCATCAACGCGAATTACTCTCTGCCAGCCGGGGATTCACGGTTCATTGTTTTCTACGATTTGTTGAGTGAGTCTTGCGGAATTTATTGTGCAGTATTTACGCAATTGGCCCATTCATTAATATTTCGATTAAAAGCGCGTATGGGTTTTGAAGATTTTTTTTTGCTGGGAAAAGTTTTTTATTTTATATTGGAGTGAAAACGCGTAATTTTATCGATTCTTTTTTCATCTGTTCGTATCCTTGTTTTATTTTTAAAGGTAATCCTGAGTAATTTCTTAAATTGCAGAAGGAACATTCCAAGTGGATCCCAGGACTAGACCGACTACTTACGAATGTTTGGAGCGTTTGGCTGAGATTGCTGAAGCTAAAGATGTTGATTTAAAGCGGCCGCTGACAGGCTTCAAACCAAGTACCGCTCCTTCACGTGAGTAGTGGGAGCCATCGATTTTTTCTTCCCACGAAAATAATATCGTGTAAAATTCATCAAGAATTTCCCATTTGGTTCCAACTCGCCGAGGTGACTCTTGTGTCATAATTCAGAAAATTTTCTTGGAATTTGAACCGTTGTTACGACGTTAATCTGAAAGAAAAGGATAGTGTTTATTTCATTTTTTTCTTGTAAAGGTTTTAGGTCTTTTTAGGGTTTATTTTTTATTTTTAACTGTATATTATATTCGGTCTTCTCGAAAATTTAGGTCATATTGTCAAGTGACAAGAACTGATTTTTGAGAAGCCAAATTTAGACTGAAACCTTGAAGTGTTCTTCTTCAATTTTAACATCACCAATATCCGTATAATGTAATGTGCTGAGTTTAATTTTTTTATCTTGAATGAACCAGAATAATATGGTCCGGAATATTTCAAAACTGACGAACTTTTTTTTTCTTCATCTAGGAATTTCTGCCTTCTTTGGCTGAATGCTTCGTTGATTCAATTATTAATAAAATGAAACCGCAATATTTTTCGCTTTTCATCGAACCGTTATATTTAACGTGAAAAATAAACATTTTCGACATTCTAAAAGTTATAAAGTAAACGATTCTTTGAGACCTAATTCAGCTTTCCAGCATTTCATGGTTCGATATACAGTATTGCAGTTTGAGTGCAATTTTCTTCCTTCTCTATCAAATGTTCCCGAAGTACGCAATTTTTCCAAAAGCCAGAATAAATGCATGAGTATGATCCGATAACTTTTTTTTCATTTCTTTTAGTTTTTAAATTATCTTTGTTTGAAAATCGATCCCAAATTTTCTGCGCCACACTGTTTATTGCTTTTATTGCGTCAATTAATTTTTCAGCTGTTATGAATGAGCCAGCTAATTCACTATCGAGGAATGGTAGCGCGGTGCCTGCAAGTGGTCCTCCGCCCCAAAGACCTCCACCTGTGGTGCCGCCGCATTCTTCCCCACATATGCGACAAGAAGATATGGGCAGTAGTCGCTTTTTGACTTCTCTGAAAGGAGGAGCCGGATCCTTGTTCAAGAAATTGCAAGATACCTCGTCGAGAGTCATGCAAACGGTTCAGCAGTAAGTTTCAACTCGGACTGTTTATATTCGTATGCGTTATCACCTTGCTGCTGCAGGTCTTGTTCTGCATATAGAAAAAAAAAAGATATTCCCGAAAAAATATTCAAGTCCCGCAATCATCGTTTTTGAGAGAATCCTTCTGTATAAGCAATATTCCTCACACGAAGAACGTTCTTACAGGTCAATCGTTGGATTAGAAGTAGACGTGTCTTACATTACCAATCGATTGGTGGTCATGTCTTACCCCGCGGAGGGGCTGGAATCTGCGTCCGCTGATAGAAACCACGTGGAAGATGTGAGGAATTTATTGGACGCACGTCACGGACCTCATTACGCTGTCTACAACATTTCCGGTCGGAGTTACGCATCGTCCAAATTTCCTGCGAAGGTCTACGATTGTGGCTGGACCCCGGGACGAGTGCCTTCGTTGTCGCAGCTGTTTTCGCTTTGTGAGAGCATGTTTAGCTATTTGTCCCAGGATCCCAAACATACCTGTGTCATTCATTGCTTGGTAAGTTTTTTGTTCCATGAACTAGGGCTCTCGTGTGGTTAAATATATCCCCCGGAATGACGTAGCTTTGAACAGGAATTCCTGACATCGGTCTATTCGTTAAATTCAAGCTTGTAGTAAGTTTTATGTTCGCAAGTGTTTTTGTTCGAATGAAGCACAGGTACGAATTTTGCATATGTTGGCTGTGACGTGATATTTCGTTTCGGACGATCTTATCGTATTTCAAATGGGTGTCGGGACATTGACACGAAACTGTAATTGCACTGAAGAGCACCATTTGAACATCTATCGGCAATGGAAGAGTGCAAAAAATGTTATTTTCTTGTTTATTTTATTCATGGCGATACTTCGGTTGATTACACACACCCTGTCCAATGTTTTGAATCTTGACTCAAAACTATGAATACAGTACATTGATCTGTAAGTAGAGTAACGTAGTCATAGATGACTAGAGACTAGGAAAGGATTATTATCCTCATTCTTGTTCATTTTCTACGCGCCTTTTTCTCCATTCACGATTGAATCTATGCCTACGAGTTCATGAACTATTCTTCTTTATTATCTGCTGTAGAGTCCCGTAATTTTCCAATGCTCAGATTTATATAACCATTATTGCTCACAATACTGTACATGTATTGTATATATGGTACACTTACAGTACATGACATCACTATTTGCTTGACTCGCGATGAGCGTGTCGTTTGTGATTGAACGGCTTATTTCGTAGGATGGAAAGGCTGCATCCGCAGTTGCCGTTGCTGCACTGATGATGTATGTACATTGCATCGGCAATCCCGGTGATGGACTTTCCGTGTTTGCTGTCAAACGTCACCCAGTGACTATCACTCCGTCGCAAGCGAGGTGGGTTTGGAAAAAAGAGAACTGTTCTATAAATATACCGTATTTACGAAAATTTCAGCGCCATTTTTACCAGTTTTATAAGCTAATAAATTACGGGGAGGGTGCTTATATTCGCATGTTCATGCAATTAAGCTAAGTATGCGTCTATGTCAGGAAATCTTCCTGTTCGCGGCCCACAAATTGATCAACCACTTCTTTTCCTCAAGTTCTTTCGGAATTGAAGTTGAAAACGATTAAAAAATGGTCAGATTTTTGCACATCAAGATACATGAGTCATTGACTGAAAGGGAAGAGCAGGAGTTGTGTGACACCCTTTCTTCTTTTCTGGGGAAAACCTAGATTTAGTCAAAATTTCAGGTTCCCGGAAATTCAGAACACCTGGGATCTAAGTGGATGCGGATATTCGCCTGTCGATGAAATTTTAATTTTGTGCATTAAAAATAGGGGGTTGCTTACATTTGTGTGAATACGGTATACCGCTTCATAGCGCAACATTCGATTAAAAATGATGATGTTATGTTTTTGCCTTTCAGGTACTTGCAGTACGTTAACGGTATAGTGAAGAATAATGTGATGCCTCATCGTCACCTCGTGACTATTCGTCAGATATGCCTTCAGCCAATTCCCCTTTTCACCAAGATGCGGTAAGTTTTCGTGTTCATATTATAAACTTCCGCTGAAGAGTGATGGATATCGATAGATTGAAACGAATGTCTCGTGAAGTAGTGTAACTGGATAAAACCAAACCTCACCAGTAATGCCTAAATTTGAGATGGAGCCAAGTGAATTTCTGCGACATTTCACGAACAAATTTCCGGAAAAAGTGTTGGCAGAACAAAACAGCATGAGCAGCAATTTTCCTTCGAAAATTTTATATTTTTCCTGAGATAACAGCTCAGAATCATTCCTAGACTGTCAATAGCAAGTATAGTACATTGTTGGAAGGATCGACCAATAAACGGTCTTTCTCCGTTTTTTTGCAGCGATGGACTGAGACCGTACCTGGAAATTTGGCGGGGGGAAGAGCTGCTCTTGTCAACTTCGTCTGAGTACGATCGGATACGACTGTATCATCACAGCGAGGGTCAAGTGGTGCTCAACGCAAATGTTACTACGCACGGGGACATCGCGGTGATTGTGTATCACGCCAGGAGCACCCTGGGCAGCAAAATTCAGGGTACCGGTAAACCTGCCGGCATCAAAGTTGCCCAGGTTCAGTTTTACACGGGGTTCCTGAGTCCCGATCAAACCGTTCTCGAGTTCCGTCGGTAAGAGAAGCTCAATACAATACTGTGGGCATGGAATACTGCTTATGAATAATTGTTCAGATGTTCGTAAGAGTGCAGATATGGCCGCTAGTTGGAAACGTTTAGATCTCAGTCATTTAAAAATTGTAGCTGAATATTGGTTGACAAGGAAGATTCTTTGTATCTGACCGTTGGTTTTGTTAAAATATCTTGTCTGGCTTTAATGCTTGAATCCCACTTTCTACTAGCAGTATTATTGTGACGTAAGAAAAGATAACCTTGAAATCAAGTTATGAGGGTAAAAAGAAAAATTATAAACCATTGTGGAGTTCGAGGCTTTCCTTCAATTGCATTCCTGACTTGAGCGAATCATTGCTCGCCTTTTCAATTGTTCATGGCAAGCTTATCATGTGGCAACAATTCTTTGAAAATTACCTGCATATCTACCCATCCAAGAAAGAAAGCACGAAGTTTGCAAAAAATCGTACGAGTCAACCCTCTATTTATATTGAATAATTTGTATTCTCTTGTCCGAATTCTGCGACGCTTAGAATTTCTGAAGACAATCGAGAAATATAGTAAAATGTCGTCATGACGAATTTATGCGTAGTACGGTTTTTTTTTTTCGGTCCATGTTCGATAGTTTCTGTGTTAATTTAATTTCATTGTTGACGATTTTTTTATAACGAAGCTTTTCTTAGTTTCTCAAGCGCTTCGTTGTAACAAGATTCTAGTGTATTTTATTCCGTGTCGTCTGTGTTCGTTAATCGAAATTCGAGGGGAACTATTTTTTTTCTCATCCCCCCCCCCTCACCCTGTTTGTCTAGGAATGATTTGGACGATGCGACGGAGGTGGATCGGTACGTCGGTGACTTCAGCTTCCGGATTTCCGTGACGGTATTGTCTCAGAGCGATCACCAAGCCAAATTGTGCCAGTGGGAAGTTCCTCAACCCGTGCACCAGAGAACGGCGGCCAACGTGCTGTTCACTTCTCCTCTGGAGATGGAAGAGTTCATGGAACACTTCGGTACGATTAATTTACGAGACTTTAGGCGGCGTAAAAAAAGTGAAGTTCGTAAGGTTAAAGAATGGATACGGTACACAGGGTAAAACTTGCCGCTTTTCTTGGAAATATATGTGCCAAATTACCTGACAAAGAGGACACATTACTTTTTCCCCGTTCAAGATGAAGTGCCGTTTGCTAATATTCTATGCTTAAGGTAGAGTAAATTCCTGCGTTTCTTGAAGATTTTCAGTTTTTTTTATGAATAGGATATGTAGGCGAGGAAGCATTGCGGCTTTTTCTTGCATATTTTGTGATAGGCCGCACCCGATTTTTCGGGAAAATGGCGTGCCTTTTGGCTCGAGTAAATATGGTCCTTTATCTCGAATGATTTTCGCGAAGGGGAGTCGTGGGTTATTTTCAACTGACTACCGGACCCTCCCGCCAAACAATAGGTATCGGGAATTGTGCTGGCTACACAGATTGCACTTTCAGCTCCGACCAATTCTTTTTCTCAAGCCCAAACAAAACAAAAACTCAAAAATATTTTCAATTGGAAGCCTCGGTTTTTGGTAAAATACGTAAAATGTTGTCTTCAATTTTCCTGGCAGATTAACTGAAACCTTGTACCCTGTTTCCATCATGAATAAGAAAAAATAACGCTCTCAATTAGTTCGTTTTTTTTTTTCAAGGTATTTTTTAAATTCTGAGCAAACGCTTGTCGAACCGTGGTGATCATATCCAGGAAATAAATGAACCATTCACAATCTTTCTATTTCAGGAAACAAGGTGCCAACGAAAGATGAAAAGAAGTCGCCGGTTCCTCAAAGACCGCCCAGACCAGCCGTGAGTTCTATTTTTGTACTGTATCTGGAAATGCTGGAAAGGTCAAATTTCATCTCGTGCTTTTAAAGTTCTGTATTGTCGCCGAATCGGGGCATTCTATGTTTCTTCGTGATCTGAAAAGGTTCATGATTTTTGCACCATTCGAAGAGTTGATTTTTCTTAAAGCATTTTGAAGAATCAACTCTGTGTTGAATAGCAGGCTTCATCTTTTTTGAAGCCATGAGCAGAGTTCATTTTTTGCCGTTTCGTTCTGCATTCATGATCGGTTCATCCAAATGTAAATTTGAAAAGTAGTCCCGAGTAATCCTGAATTCGGTTTGATACCCAGGAATATGTGTGTTCATTTCCGCGCATGTTCAAAATTTTTTTCTCGCGGCATCAAATTTGAAAATCTAACAGTCTTGATAATCAGGTCGTCGAATTTGATGATCGTCATCATCACTTAATGTCTGCATTTGGTGCGCGATTTTTTATTTTTTGAATAATTGAATTGGACAGTTTCTCATGCAGTATTCGTATCAGTTTCTGTGAGCATGGTATTTCATTGTTACTGTGTAAATTTCTCTTAGGCGTCATCCCCGAAACCGCCGCCAAAGCGACCGCAACCCCCAGCTGTGACTGCAGATTTGCTGAATCTGGATAAACCCGCCGCACCGGTTGTCGAACAGAGTGCACCGCAAATAAGTGTCGATTCTGGCACGGAAGACTTGCTTGGGCTGGGACAGACAAATGTAGGGCCTGACGTGAATCCGAGTCCTGCTGGGAATATGAATAATCTTTTCGATCCGCTCATTTCAACAGTGAGTTTCCCCCGAATTTTGATGTAATTTTCTCACTTTTTTGATACTTGTAAATGCGTAAAGTGATTTACAGTCGTCAGGATTTGTGAATTTTCTCATCGTAGAGAGACCCGAATTTTATGTACGATAGAATTTCTTGTTAAAAAATTGTTTTTTTCCTCTCATTCCTAATATCTCAATGCTTCTTTCAATTCTTCAGGAGCCGAGCTTGAATCATTCTGCGAGTGTTGGAGCCATGAAGACAGAAGAGGTGCCAGATCTTTTGGGGAACTGGGATTCGTTGGCTAGTCAGTTACCAAGTACAAGCGCTACTCAGTTTGTGGACGACTCCTTACTTAAGAAGCCAGGTTTGGCAATGCCCAGGAATGCTTCTACACCTAACCTGGAAACAAATCGCACTGACCCCTTCGCCAATTTAGGTGGCTTCATTTTCTTTTTAATCTGGATTTTCATTTATTTAATTGTTCCTGGTAAGATGGGCATTCAGGTTAGTTTTCTGCAGTGCAGTACAGTAGTTTCATGTTTAGTTCAACTTATGTGTCTCGCGCGTGAAGAGCATTTGTTTGCAATTCAATGCCTGGTTTTTTATTTTATTTTTTAGACAGGCGTCGCTTTAAGCTTGTAATTGACGGATTAGAAAGTACTGTATTTGAATATATGCCGGATTGTAGTCTCTCCAACGCTGTCTATGCTGGAGATGATGCGATGTGCATGAAAAATCGAGAGGTCGCTCTAACCTGGCTTATTTTTTGCGCAAAACGTTTACTGCGGCACGTTCGTGGATTTTGAATCATCGATACCTCTGCATTTTTATAATTCCGAATTTTTCTATTTTTTGGAACTTATTATCGAGAAAATTCGAGATGTTTTTTTTTTTCTTTATTGATACAATTGGCAGCATTTCCCCCAAACGTTTAAAGACTCTTACCCCCAAAATGTACTGATTTTTCGAGACCTACGCAGACTTTTGATTGAAGTAGCCACTCAAAAGTTGGGGGCCTATATGCAATACTTGTTAATTCGGAAAGGTTAATGATGACGATATTTCATTGAGAGGTATTGTGTTTTTATTAGGAGGAATGTCCTGGGGTTTAGGAGATCAAACGCAACCATCGACCACCCCGAAACCATCCCCTGTGCATCAAAGCAAGCCTAGCACTGGTTGGGCTCCTGGCCCGACTGGCGGAAATCTTTATCCTAATTTCGGAAGTGGGCCGTCACTCTTCAGTCCTGGAGGTATAGTAAACAGTATTTTTGTCAGCTTTTAAACGCACATTTTGTGCTCTGAAACTTTTTTTGAGAAACTATTATGCGTGAAGTGAAACAAAAGTTTGCGTGGTTAATGAGACCAGTTTTAGCAGAAGTCGATTAACCCAGCTATTTTTTTTTTGCTCTCAGAATTTTGATTAATTGAGGGGGGGGGGGAACAGCGGATTTTATGCAGTATTTTTCATTTTAGCCGCTTCGTTTCCCCCTAATTTACCGGAGTTTTTGCATAAAAATGCGTGAGGGACTTAATGAGCAAATATTAAGAAAAATATCCGAGATTTTGTCTTCGATTATTCAGGTTAAATCATTTTCTAATTAGTTCAGACAAGTGGAGTTCGACTCTACAGTAATCATATAATTGTTCGATCTTGTGTTGTTGCGATCCAGACAAGTGTTTATCGGTGGTTGCAGTAACAATTGTGCCCTACTTTTCTGCGTTGTCATGGGAAGTTTCATGTGCGTCTGGGTTTCTCATGTGTGTGCGTGAGGAAAATGAAAGGGGACGAGGGCTGGTAACGTAGCTGCGAGGGGCGTGCAAGTTATTTCCACTTTTTCGATCTTGCATCCTTTTCCCTCGGTGGCTGCTTTTTATTTCTGCCCTCCTGGAGTATCAAGGGATAATGAAAAAATGCAAGGATCATGCTCATCGGAATTTTGATATCCGGAGGAATGCGCCCGCGATTTTTTTTTAAATCTCTCGTATATGTATTTTAAAAATTTAGCTATTTATCCATTTGAATTTCGACGCGTGTAGCGCCTTCTGGTGATACAGTATGCAGGAATTCACGGGTTTAATTATCTGCCAGGTACTCCGATGCACCAGGCAACGAAGTCGAGTGGCGTGAAACCGAAATTAACAGATGACGCTTTTGGGGACTTGTTGGGAAGTCAGGGTTTTGACTTCGCCCCAAAGAAGGACAGCGGACCTACGACAATTAATCAAATGAGAAGAGAAATGGCTTCTAGGGATTGGAATCCAGACCAGCTGAAGGTGATTTTTCGTTTTAGGTTGACCGCTTCTACAATCATGTTCTAAGAATGTTTCATTACCTTAAAACTGCTCTTGGGTAATGTTATTTATAATTTTTTGGGAGTCTCCCCCATCCTTCTTAAAAAAATAGCACGGTTCTCTCATGTTGCAGTGAAGATGAGAATTATGAATACTGTATCACGTGGTGCAACTCCCATTTGAAAAGAAAGTTCTCGTATTCTGTTTCCCCGTTTCACTACTCAAAATGTGTCAAATTTTCGTGGCGTCTATTTTCAAGCTATTCCTCAACTTCTCGAACATCATCCAAAAATGCTCTGTAACGTCCACCTCAACTGCTGCCGTTGTTATGGAATCTTTTTCTCGTGTGACACCTTTTACTCTGAATTATTCGCATGAAAAGGACTGCTTTAGTATTCTAAATGATGTTTTGGTGCTTCAGATTTGTAAGGATACTATGAAACGTCAATTTTTCCTATTTTCGTAAAACGAAGTGAATTTAAAGCCGTGAGGTCAAACTTGGGAAAAAGTTTATATTCGAGTCCAACTTGTGTGATCATAATATTTTATTATTATTTTAAAATCTTCTCTGCATCCGGAACGGGTAAAAATTCCGGCTTACTAAAAAGTATGGTGAATCCGAAATTTCAAGAATCGTAATTTTTCGAAATGGCTTTCAAAATTCATCAACACTTCCCCATGAATTGTCTCCTTTTTTCTTATTTTTAAATTTACTTTTTCGTCTTTGCTAGGTAAGAGAATGGACGGAGGGGAAGCAGAGGAACATCAGGGCCCTGTTGTGCAGCTTACATACTGTGCTCTGGGATGGAACTAGGTGGCAAGAAATTGGTATGCATCAACTTGTAACGCCTGCGGAAGTGAAGAAGTTTTATCGGAAAGCTTGCCTTGCTGTTCATCCGGACAAGGTTGGACATCGTTCACTTTCCAATCAATCATCTCCACTCAGTTTTCAGTAATTGCGTTACTAAAAATACTGTACCATTAGCAAAATCGGTGAAGGAGGATTATGTGTTGAAAGTGAAATGTAAGAATGAAATCTGAAAATCAGTTTTTGAAAAGATTCTTAGTGAAAAATTCGATATTCCAGGCTAAAAGTGCGACAGAGGAACTAAAAAATTCTTCTCACTTCAAACTCATGCTGATCATTCACACGCTATCACATGCGGAAGAGGATAATAGTTTTTTTTATTCTCTTGATTGTGTTGCGCATTTTTTCTCCCGATGCTGGGTCTTTACGCTATTTTTTATGTATTCTGTAAAGCATGCGTTCATTTGTTGATTGATTCAGAAATTTTCAAGGAATGTGGTATGTGGAACGAATTGAATAAGTCCAATCCATATACTGTAGCTCTTTATTACTATATTATGGGACTTCTCGGGGTGGGAAAGGACTGGAAATGATCTTACATTTTTTATTTGATTAATTTACAGTAAGGTTAATTAACCTTTCGGGTTATGAGGGTTCTGACAACGATTTACCATTTTATGTGTCATTACTTCTCAAGGTTAATTAACTTTCCGGGTTACGAGAGTTCACGGAGGAACGGATGAAGTCCATTACACGAGGCACCACTACATTAGCGTATCGCGTTCTGGTGGTTGAAGTACCGTTTTTTATTCGTAGCAAACCGGAACAGACCACGAAGAAATATCCAAGATGGTCTTTATGGAATTGAACGATGCGTGGAGTGAGTTTGAGAAGGACGCTTCTCAACAGAATCTGTTCGGTTGAACGGGAGACAAACCGGTGCCTCTCTGCGAAAAAGGAAAAAAGGAGATCTGCGTCATTTCTGGCGGTCGTGGCCAAACCGGCGGTCCCACCACGTACGAGGCCCGCACAACATTCTGGTTCCAAACTTGGAGCTACTATCAAAGCAGGCTTGCGTCGCTGTGATCACCAGGATCTCAGAAAAAAGTTCCGGAACATTCTCTAGATTTTTTGTGTTGCTAAGGCTTTCGTTGGAATTTTATTTATTTTTACTTGCTCGGCCGAACGTACGCGTATAGTACCGTGTTACCACCGAAATATCGATGATCTGAGAGATATCGGCGCTTCGTTTCAGGTCTTCCGTATTTCTCTCGTTTATCAATTGAGTCAGGTAGCTTGAAGCGTTTTCTTTATTTTTTTGGGTTCAAATTACCGATCGAAATGGGGATTGTCGGTAACTACCGTGTTTCCCCTGAAATGAGACCGTTCTTGCATAAACTTTTCTCGCAAAAAATACACCTGGCTTTTTTCAAGACGCTTTCTACATTTACTGATTCTGATTGAATTGCAGGTATTCAGAAGTAATTCTTCTCGTTTTTATGCCTTTATGGTGCAGTTGAAAAGCAAGAATCAAACCGTGCAATATTTGGTCGTCATTTTTGGCTCATTTCTTTCTTCATTTGTTACAGAAAAATTTGAGTGTTGTCTCCCAGGAAAATTACGTTCAGTGATTTGAATATGGTTTATGCGTGTCAGACAGGGCTTGCGTTGAGCAGGTGGATATCGCATGAAATCTATGCCAGGTCCTATTTTCTGAATGAGTCGCATTTTAGAGGAAACACGGTGCATTCCGTCTTCAGATAAAAGTTTCTGAAGTAGGGTGTTGATTACGTCTGGTGAGGATACTGAAATCTTCTCATCTGAACTGTTCACATACCGGGACCTGAATGTTGTATTCATGGACGTTCTTGGTCTCGGTTTTGTTATTTATGAAATCAGAGCGCGATGTCGAAATGTGAAACGGTCGTGGGTTAGCAGAGGGATGAAACCTACTGATGAATTTTCGGGGATAGGATTATTTATTTTATTTTTCTTTTTGGTCAAAATATGGGGGGAAGCATGGCTTAATTGTATGCTGGAGCTATGTGAGGACTCGAGCACGTGGTTTCAACGTTCCATAGAACGAATATGATCCTTTCTCGTCTTGTTCAGGTTACGTGGAACAGTTTTAGCAATAAATCAGCGTCTTGAAACTTGAAAATTATTTCTATTGATTGTCAAGTGGAATTATAATTTTTTAATTAAGAAATTCCTCATCTATTCACAGCAGGACCTGAAAAGTCATATCTCTGCAACAACAACAACAAAACTCAGGGGACCAGTAAAAAATGCCTTGTAGAGAACCCCTGTAATATGAAGAGCACATGAAGAAATATTGTTTATTATGCAGAGAAAATTGTTGTAGAGGGTCGATCCACCTGTATTCTGTTGGCATGTGGCACTCAGTTCAACTTATTTTTATGCACGTAGACTTTCTCTAAAACAATTTACTCTCTTCTAGTCATCCTATATAGAGTTATCCCCATGTTACAGGGGTTCTCTTGTACAAATACTTTTCTGGTCTCCTGAAATGTTATGGGTAGTTCAAATGCATGAAGTGCCGGATATTTTTGCCTTGATCATGGAGCTGATGATCTCTAAGCCAAGCTCATATAGTTGAATTTTCTTCTTTTTTTTCTATAAACAAAATGTGATGGATCAGATAAACGAAGCACCTCCACAAGGCCTTTTTAGGGATCATGTCAAGAGTGACATCTAGGTTCCTAAACTGAATTAATTCCAATAAGATTAGTACTGTACCGTAGGGTGTATGGTATTGTACCTCTATTCATTAGGCAAGAGTAAATGGAACCCGTCCAGACCAAGGAATGACGTACAGTACGTTTGAAACATTGTTGAACATGATTTTTCCCGCATTAACTTGTGACGTGTCTTCCGGGATTATCTCTGAACTGCCCCCGAATTCGGTCACATCGTTCAAAAGTCGCTTCGATGTTATCTGTCGGGTTTTACCTGTCCCGTGTTTCCTGCTCTCCACGCGATATAGCAGAAATTGAGCTATGTGTGACGCGTGGGTACGGTGTTGTCATGCGGCGAACCCTGGGAGGGACATCCTCTAACGTCGCAGCATCTGGCACAGTGTCTCTGAGTAGTAACCTCAGTCTTGCTGAGGCTAGGTGCTGAGCAGTATTTAAGATGAAGTATTTCGGACCCGTAGAGTGCTACGTAAATTTCATTCATTCCGCAGTGGTAGTCAACTTCTCTCGACGTGTATTGACATCTAAAATCTTCGCGTTGTTCCCGTGTGCATCATCGAAGGGACGACTCAATTGCGTTTCCGTCTCCTGATTTTTTTCAGGCTTGAAGCTTACTTTTGCGATTCACAGCTGAAAAAGCGAAGTTATTTTCCGCTTGAACGGTCGTAAGGTTCGGATGAGAAAACCGAGAAAATGGCTACTATGTTGAGTATTAGTCAAGCCTTTAATAATTGGCCGGAAGAGAGTAGCAGTTCATCGGCAAACATACAGTACTTGTAAGTTGCCATATTTCACGTTGAGAGTTGATCCGCTTCTCCGCACCAAGAAACAGATAATAGAGCGGAAGAGTGGGTATTTATTTTTAATGGATGGCCATTCCCGCACTCCTAGAAATGCTGCAATCTGTTAAGTATGCGCGCATAGGCCGTGAGTGAGTGTGGCATATTTGCAAGTCAATGGTCCAATTCTTTTAGACTTGAATATGAGCGATGAGTTCTCTTCAAAATTTATGCGTATATGTTACTTTCTCCTGGACACATATTTCCGTTGAAATGACGGATAAGAATGAGGTAGCGTTTCGTGGACGCGTACTGTACTCCAGAAGTCTTTCTAGTCGTGAGAAGTGGATGAACTCTCTAGTTTTCAGCCTCGACAGTACTTCGGGCTCAATGATCGAATTTTCTGCTGCAGGTCAGAGCTGAGGCGTCGAGGGCTTGATGATGCGGCCTTGATGGTCGAAGAAACGGTCTTGCCCGTCTTCACCGTCACCATCCCTGGCCCCGGGCCTCTGTGGTGTTCCTGATGTCCCCCACGCCGCAGATGTTGTACGACTGTCCACTTCGGGCGGTTGCACGGGGGGCAGCGGTGTGGGGTCTCTAAAAGAGCCTTCTGTGGTGGTACGTTCAATTGAGGTATTCTGAAGTCAGGCGCTTTTATCCTAATACACCCTGTTTTTTCAGACGAAAGAGTTGTCGTATTTGCTAGCATGTTGCGAAGTCGCGGAGAAGCATGGTCAAGCTGTGAGGATAACTTTCAGGATGGAGTTGACCGAAGCAACTACAGCATTGTGGGAAACTGTTTTATGGGAGAGACGCTTGTACGTTGCGCTTGATGGAACATGCGGAAAGTTGCCGCAAGCTTCGAAAGAAGGGTAAGCATCCTTTTTCTTCATCTGTGATACCGTGATCAAGTCGAGTGGTAGAGTTCATCCTACTGCTGGATCGAATCTCATGGATGACTTCTATAATTACTTTCTATGATGCATGCCTGAATTTTGGCTTTACACGCTGTGAAAGCGAAGATTTTGATAGTACAGTATAGAATACTCCGTTTCCGTGTCGATGTTACTTGATGTGATTTCCTTCATGCTTACCTGTGTACTCTTTTGAACCGCGTAACTCATCCTTTCAGATTCGTTTCCCTTCTGGAATACGCTGAGGAAGATTTGAAGTGCTCACATGTCATCGTGTGCATCCAGAAATCTTCTTCGACCAGATGTGAGTTTGTTTATGTTTCCTTGGGTTTATGACCGAATGCAAGTACAGTAATACTGTATAAGTAGTCTACAGCGCTTTTTTTTTATTCAGTGTGTTACTTGCACTTCAGTGCAGGTTTCACGCGTGTGTAAGTTGAACGTAAGTACATCAGCTTACGAAGTCGATTCCGCTGGTCATGTGTTACATACTGTATTGGTGTTGACTCCCAAAGCGCACTGATGAACAATAGTTCAACTGGATTCAAGTTCGGTTTCTTTCTCTTAAATTACCGTATTATCTGGTTCTTCAGTGTTCCAATTGAAACGAACCCTTTCCTACGTCAGGAATGTTAGTACTTGAAGTATGAACAAATAAGGTTTTTAAGAGACATCCTGATTCGAGAAAGGTTTGTTCCAATCCACTCTGGTACTGTTAGATACCTGAGAATACGGGACATCAGGCGTCGTGAAAGATGATTTGATTTTTGTCGAGGTAATTTTTGTTGAAGGTTTTATGCTCCCCTGATCTCCAGAATTTTTTTTTTTTTTGCAGCTGCGCTGATGAAAACATTCATGTTTTTGGGGTTTTCGCCCTTGCCACCAACGAACAAGCTGACGCCCAAGATCCCTGACAGAATTTTCATGGTGTACACATTCAAGTAAAAGAACTGGTCTCAGCCCGACGTGCAGGATTCATTCGTGAAGCCTCGTGGCTGATGTCACACGCATCTAGTATGTGTGTGTGAATCTTCGTCGGTGCTAAACGAGTTTTTTGCTAGTTTGTGAAGAATATGGTTGTTCTGGAAACAAAGAAAGAAATTCAACAGTTTTTTCGTGCATGCTAGCAGATATTCGATCAAGCTTACGTAACTACTCTTGAAAGTATACTCACTGTTCTAATCGAAATCTTAAGCCCTTTTTTCGTATCGTTTTAGGCCATTTTGCAGGTTCCTTTTCCATGAGGGTCGTTTTGTCAATGCATTTTTTGTGCCATTATTCACCACCTGTGCATCGTATTCACCGGGATGCAGTCTCTTTCGAAGAAATGTGTCTCTCTTGTGCGTGATTCCTTCTGCGGTTTGACCTTAAAGATCCGGGCTGCTTACGTGCTGTGGTTTTAGTGTCGTGAAAAGTAAGAAGTAAGAATTCGAACAGGCTGAGATTTTCAAGATTTCCTCAGAGCAGAGGCTTTTTTTCTGATGCCCAAATAGCCACTTTATTTTTGCGTCTCGCTTTAAGAAATATTACGAATATTTGGATGCGTTATTGGGCCTGCGCAATTTGATCTGGATTGTCTTCACTCGCATTTTGTTCTATTCTGTTCGGGTGCAGGTTTTGAAATAGATTTTCGATTATTGCATGAATTTTCTTGTTTTCTGGCACAATGGTACAGTATTCATTTCCATGACGAGAAAATTTTAGTTTCCTTTTTTTCAGAGAATCTTGGACTTCCTGGAGATCCACTCCTTTCTCAGATCCAGTCTTGTTCAACCTTAATGAGAATGTTGAAATCATTTGAGAGTTCCAGATGATTTTCTCGATTGAAGGAGTGGTGCGTGGGTTTGAAAAAGTAGCGTTTGCTTCTTCATTGCTTAGATAATATGAAATATGGCAAACCATGCTTTACATTACATACTTCGAAGAATTGATGAATATTTTGACATTTTATGAATACTTGTACTGTGAATGTATCCCAGGACTTCTTTTGATAATGTTAGATTCTCTCAAGAAAAATTTTGTTGACCCCATATGTATTCTCTAAAATAAAATTCAGGGGACCAGAAAAACATTGTTGAAATTTTGTTGTGGAGCCCAACTGTTCAGTGAGTGACTCATGCTTGTAAGATATACTGTTACGTGTTGGGAGACCAAGGCTGAAACCAATCCCAGAGAATCAGAAATGAGTTTTTCTTTCAAGTAAACTCCTCTATTGAATAAGAGATGCAATTTTGCGTCAAGGCGTAATTTTGTAATTTGCTGGGAATGTACAGCAGATTGAGAAACTGGTGGACTTCCTTCTACTGCAAGTGAGTTGTCTCTGTGCAACAAAACTCAAGGGTCCAGAAAAAAAATTTTTGTAAATAGAATTTCCTCGCAGAGAACTTCTGTAATGTGAGAAGAGATCCTTATAGGACCAAAAACAAATTTGTAGTGCAGAGAAAATTGACAAGTGTGATGTTGTAGAACAAGATAATCCATCGTAGTGATTCCTATTCCAAGATGAATTGATTTCATCAGCAAGAATATTCTGAAACCTCTCGTCACTTCTGAAGTCTAATTCTTTGGGGTTGTTTGCAGTTCTATCAATGTTATTCTTACATATTGGAAGAAGAAATAAACTGAAATGACTGCTAGGCCAACCAAAAAATATTTTCGGACACCCTTTTTTGTTTAGTTGGTGGCTTACAATATTGTCCAGCTTATTCAAAATTGCAGTCATAAATGCTGTAAAAGTGGATGCTGAGTTGTTAACCCCCTCGGAAATTGATTTCGTGACGTTGTACGCAGTGTTCAGCTCAAGCTGTTGAGAGTCAAATTACATCCAGAATGTGCGATGTGCTGGTGGGAAGAGGCAATGGAGGGACGGGTGTTAACTTTTTCATCACGCATGAAAATTCTATAGCTTCAGGAATAGAAAAGGAAAATGCCAGCGACAGTGGAATGCCCTGGTATGTGCTCCCATCAGCAGCGCCAGTATAATTCCGAGGATGACTGCCCTGCAACTGCGCAGAAGAGAGGAGAACCCTGTCACAAGATGGCTGCAGTTGTACTGCACAAGCGAACTGGTCGCATTATCAGCGAGGGGCGGGGGGGGGGCGATGCGCAGGAATCCAGGGAAGAAAACAAGGGGGAGAGAGAGAGACAGTCTCGCTCATGCCGGGCACCTGACCCCACGTGGCGTGAAATCCTGCATGCATGCGTTCCCTGATGGACGCTGCCGCGCGTGAATGCGTGAGTGCGGCGTAGTACGTATGTACACCCCCCCCCCCCCTCCCAGCGTCGCAACTGAATTCCCCATATACCGTAGCTACGGTTCGAGACAGAGAGCAGACAACAGCAGGCCTCCACATACTGCTTGGGGAGACGGATAAGAAGAAAAAGAAATGCACGCACGCGAGCACTCGCGAAAGGTATTTCGAAAAGTTTTGGACTTTCTGTGACATCAATTTCACTTAGTATTTGCAGAAAATTAAGTTTACTCGCGCGTGTATGTATGAGACATATACTGTACTTGGCGAATTCACCTCCATTTACGAGTTCTTGAACTGAGTGAACATGAATTCATTGCTAATCTACACTTTCTCTCTTTTGCATATGTATTCTTCCAGCTGCTGAGCTGAAGATTTTAAGATTGGAAAAGTAGAAACGTATTTTGCGAGTAAGGAACGCAATTTCGGTGGATCTCTCACTCTATTAGCCCTTCCTGTTTCATTTCCCGAGAAGGTAAAAAGCCCATTTCACTTCCTCTGGAACCATCACTTGAAATAGGTTCACATCAGAGAGTTGCATTCTTCCATGCTTGGAAGGGGCTTGTTTTGTCTACTAATTTATATTTTTACTTCAGTGCCACTGCAAACATTTTTGCTTCTACAGTTGAACCTCTCTAAGTGTAATTTAAAAGGGACCAGCAAAAAAAAGTTTGACTCAGGGAGATTTTGACTTAGAGGGGTTTTAAATTATAGATGATTGAGCTACAATAAAAGAGCTATTTTGTTCTGGGAAACATATAGAAAAATTGTAAATGGTTGTATTCTGGGGCTTAAATTGGTTCTTAAATGAGTTGAAAGGATACTGAACTTGTAGGGAGGCTTTCATTTTGCCCAATTAAGTCTTTCACTTCCTTTTGAAACGCATCAATTTCTGTTTTTATTTTTTCTTGTGTGAAGAAAATAATAGCCAACAGCCACAGAAAATTTGACTTACAGAGGTTTGAGGGGGAAAGCCTTTGGCTTAGGGAGGTTTTTATTGTAGTACTCCTAAGGGGATTCAGATGGGGATCTGAAAAAAAATGTGACTTATAGAGGTTCAAGTTAATGAGGTTCACCTGTATATAAGAGGTAAAAGGAGGTATGTGTAGGCTGGTATACATCTTCTACAACTTTTTAGATGTTCATGCAGCAAAAATCATTGTAGACAGGATTGTTGCTAGTGCACCTGTGGGCTGTATTATGTAGATTAATTCATTAAATATAATTGATCATACATGATCAAGTATGGAGCTTGGGACCTAAGAAAATAATTTAAATCATCATTCATGCTGAATTATGAGCACTGAAATAGACCTGCTTCTTATTGTATATCTTTTCGATAATTAACATCTTGCAAATTTAGGAGGAAGTTCCGGGAATAACTTCTTGAACGGTCCCTTGCAAATACCTGCGACGCCATATTGGAATCACGCGCTGATCTTTTGAGCTGACACGAAAAAGAAGGGGATGTGAGACTGGGAAAATTGCTCGACTGGCCGAGTTCTCTATTTTCCGTCTCATCTCTATTTTTTTCATTGCATATTTATATTTCTATGAAGCAAGTTCATCGGCGTTCCCAGTGAACATTAAAATAAATAAAATACATCAACACTGGTGCACAGCTACTTATTTCGATTCAGTGGCTGTTACCATGAAACAGAACTATCACATCTGATGGCTGACCTCTCAAGCAAGAAATGAGCGTAACGCAGTTTTCAAAAAGATTGGAGCTAACCTTAAATTTTGTACACTTTCTATTTTTTCGTTTTAAAATACACTAGAGTAAATGAAATGCAGAAATCGCAAAATTTTGCTGCATACTAGACAGGTACATTTTTGAAATGAATCCTGTGACAGTAGAATGCCACTACATAAAGAAAACCATTGTAACGATTTTTCAAGTCGGCGAATCCCCTCCCATTTTTATAATGTACTGTACTTTAGTATTAGACACGATAACGCTGAATAAATCCTGTAAATTGCATCAAAGCTGTTGTTGACTGAGGATGATGAACTGAATGTTACCAATACTTTAAGTAAATTTGAATGTACAGTAATAATTTATAATCTGTTGAGTGAAAATTTTGTTTAAAAAATATTATTCAAGAAAGTGAATTGGCCTTCATTTTTGGAGAGTCTTTTTTTTGGTTTTGCAGAAATTCTGATAAGAAGGCACTAAAAGGCATTCCCTGTTGTTGGATGATGCTGCGTTTTCTATATCTTATCATTGTACAATACCATATTTTTATGGCAAAATGTGTTGTACACCGCGGTTTTCCAGAAATTGGAGAATACTTTACAGCTATTATCCTCCTGTGAGTAATAGGGGAAGCATAGAATTGTCCATCAGCAAATACAATACAGTTACCATCAGTTTTTATTGATACATATACAGTTCTTGATTTACAGTAATCTTTTTTATAAACTTTGGCAAGAAATAATAAAAAAGCATTTGTCTTGAGTGTAGGAGCGAAAGATACAGAAGAGATCACATTTTCCTTGCTGAATCTTAATTTTATGCATTTGTCAGTTCTGTACAGTATACAGTATATAAAAATATTACTTTTTCAAGTTCCCCATTTGCACCTTTGTTATTGCAACAGATAGCTTGGATTTTTTAATATTTGCAACATCATATACTTTTTTTTAGAAAATTTCATTCTATTTAAGCATTTGACTGCCCTTTTTATTATGCATTCTTTAGGTTGAAAGAACAGAAATTGCAAATTGAGGTGTCTTCTGCATAATTAATTTGTAAGAACTTTTGATGGTATGCCTTTTTTACACTGTATAACTGTTTGCATTTTTTACACCTAACTGAATGTGATTTTCATTATAGAAAAATGAAAAGGAACTGGCTGGGACCCTATCACTGATTGTCCAAGTTTTGTAAGTTTCAGCTACGGTAACTTTACCAGAAACAAAAGATGGAAGGCCGGCTCAATGCTATTGTAGTACAGGTACTATACTGCACTGTAGTTCAATGCAAATTTGGCGGACAAATCATTCCAGAATGTAATTTCCACTTTTAAAAAATTCTATGGATTGGACATTGTTCAAGCAAGGAAAGATGAACCAATACTTTAAATCGAATCCAGAATCACAGAAGTGAATCAGATATTTTATCTGATTCACTCAAGTAGCACCTTATTGTTATCCTTTAATGTAAGAAGTGTGTACAGTAAATTATTTGAATGGCATCAGATCAAATGAGTTGGCAACCAGTAAAATCTTATCGCCAAATCCCGAAAATATCTAATTTTAGAATCCCTATCAATGACTTGGAGATCATTAAGATAATAAACTATCAAATACATTAAAATTGAATTGCCAGCAATATAATAGCACTGGATTTTTGTTCAAAATGTTGAGGTAAATCAACTGTCACATAAAGA